GAGTTGAGATTGGGAAGAGAAGTTCGGGGAGGCCTGGACTCAAAATTCCTGGTGTAGAGGAACCGCTTCCCAGCCTGTACCCATGTAGGGGATTGGTGGTGGTCTCCTGGTGCGCCGTGGGGCTGGCGGGGGTGGGCAGGAGCGGGGTTAGGCTGGGGAGGGAGTGGGGCTGGTGCTGACAACAGCCCCGTGCCTGGAGCGGGGCCGTCTGCTCCTTCACTGCTGCTCCTGAGCTGTCAGCAAACATCTGTGAGCTGCCTGGGTAAGATATGCCAAATCCTCCTCTTGTGCTGGCTCACAGCGAGTCTGGCCATCCACGGCTGTGCTCTTCATCGGTTACGTGACTCAAGATACATGTTCTGCAGTGACTTGTAAGAGAGCCAGCTTCAGTAAATGACCTGTGACAGCCTGAGGTTTCAGGATGGCCTTTTTTTGTTTTTTGTTTTTTTTTTCTCCTTCTTCAAAATGCAAAGCAAAGTCGAGGAGCATGGGGAACACTGGCATCACATTACACACGAATTGCACTAAAAGAAGCTGCCATGTTTGAATATGATTGGGTTTATTATGTTTTCAGAAAGCAGAATGATCCTTCAAAGTTGTCCAACTGGGCTAAAACTGTGTGTCCTACCTCTTCTGCATGTAGTTGTAGCCATGCTTTGCCCTCTGCAGAATCGCTTGCTTCATTCATTGCAACGGGTGAACTTATCCTGAGTGCGGATTAATGCGCTCCAATCAAGGTGAATGTCCAAGGCCATTGCCAGACTTCTTAATGAGCTGGAAATAAATGAAGCATATGATTAGGATGGAGAGGCCGAGTTTGGTTTAGCTTGAAGCTATTAGAGGCTTCCCTGCAAAACTGAGTTCTTCTATCCCTTTCATTTTTTCTCCCCTGTCTCCTGTGTGGCATCGAGCAATTTGCTTGAACCAAACTCTCCTGCTGATCAGTGCTGCTATATTTGTCTGGAGTGCACAAGCTGAAATTCTCCAGGCTGATTTCCAGGAGTGCTGAGCAGCGCTGTGCTCTGAATGAAGTTCCCTAAAAAAATTAGCTCCTTGGCGAGGACGTGTGTTATTTCCTCGGTCTGTACTGCTCTTACGAAGAAGGAATACCAGCCTTGAGCTCGCGGCGACATTGAGCGTGTCACATCTGATCAGCTTCAGCTATTTTAACAACGAGCAATGTAGGAAAAAGTGTGAGAGGAACCCCTCTGCGCAGCATCACCGGGGCAGCGCTGCCGTTCAGCGGCTGAGAGGACCGTGGTGTGACTGGTCCCTTGTTCCCGATCTTGCTCGCCGTCGGGAAGGTAGGCTCCTTGGGGAGGGATGCGGGTGTGAGCCCGGCGCCCCCGGGTGTGTGCAAGGGCATGGTTTGACAGCTCGGTCCTACTTTCCAGGAGCTTCTCCCCTCTAGTAAAATTCATGTTTGAACAGCAGAGCTATTCCTGTTTCTGAGCTGGGAGATGTTTGCACTGGAGACTCACAATGAGCTGGCTTATTGGCAGCTTCATCTCTATAGTGGCACAACTGGGCACAGAGGCTCTTCACAGTTGGCACAAAACCTGAAACCTTCTCGTTGTAAATGAGATGGGAAAAACATGCGCCTGGCTGGATTCCCAGAGCAACACTGTGTTTCCCTAACAGAGGCAAATGACACCCAAACCAGCTCCAGCAGCTATCTTTTGTTTTCATCTCGAGCCGTGCTGAACCTGTGCACGCGGTTTGAGGCTCGCCGCCGAGCTCCCCTAAACCGAAGCAGTTGCTCCCCCGCAGCCGACGCCAGACTGCGGGACCGACCTCTGGCTGGGGCCGAGGCAGCTCCCCCCGACTCGTGGGGGGGCAGCTGCTGCGGGGAAGGAGAAGCGGGAAGCTCGGTGCTGCGGGGAAGGAGAAGCGGGAAGCTCGGCGCTGCGGGGAAGGAGCAGCCGCTGCCACCGCCTCCCTGCCAGCTCCTGGCCGTGGCCGCCAGCCCGTGGCTCTGGCCCAGCTCCCCCGTCTCGCTGCCCTCTGGAGCAGCCGGGCTGGGTTTGCTGCCTTTGCCAGGGAGCCCCCTGCCAGTTTTGGAAGCGACACCATGTCCCTCAGAGCCCGGGCAGGAGGGGGTGACATCAGGCCCCAGCCCTTGCTGCTGGGGAGGGGGGGGGGGGGGGGGCGGCTGCGCTGCAGAAAACCACTGCTGGCCCAAATTTAGAGAAGCAGGAGCAGCGTGGGGCTTGGGCTAAGGCGTGACCTACAGCGTCGGGGGCTTCCCCGGCAGCTCCTTGTCCCCTGTGCCAGGCCAGCCCCTGTCCCCTGCCACCATCCCCGCGGCCTTTCCTTGAGGAGGGCCGAGGAAGCGCCTGTGTGCATCCCAGTGCAACGCCGGCGGGAAGGGCAGCGGCGGCCGCCTGGCCCCGGAGGAGCCAAACAGGGGTGTAAGGACAGGGCTCGGCACACAGCCCTCTCCTGCTGCCGGCGGGGGTCTGCCGGGGGGAAGGTGGGGTGCAGTATGGGGCTCCCAAAATTCAAGGCTGCAGCAGCGAGCAAAGCAGGGAGCGCCGATGAAATTCCCTGTGGGGCCCACGGGGGGATTTGCTGAAGAAACGGGCTCGGTGGCATTCAAGTGGGGCTGTTACAGGTTTGCGTGACGGGCTGCGTTGCTGCGGGTGATGTCACGGGAGGTAATGACAGCGGTGTTTGCCGGCTGGGTGACAGAAGGAGTAAAGGCTCCTTTCAAGTGGAGGTGGCAGAAGGGAACCTGCAGCTGGGGCAGGGGCCCAGGGATGGGGGGGGGGCTCCCCAGTGCTGGGGGGAAATGGCAGCAGCAACCCCCGCCAGTGAGGGTCCCAGCTGGTGGTGGAGTCATAGAGCGGATGGGAGTTTGATGCTCCTTCCCCAATTGCTTTTGAAAAATTCCTTCGTTGCCAAAGTGGGCGCAGCATTTGGCTGCCCTCAGCCCCCCTCCCCTGCAAGCAGAGGCTTGTGAGAGCCCAGGGTTTCTGCGCTGAAAGTACCGTTGGGTTTTACCAGCAGAAAAAGCATCCTGGAAAATATCCCAAGGAGCTCAAGTTTAAGAATAAAACCACAGCAAGACTGTGGTTTTTGGTCCTTCGCTGTGGCAGAGAAGGGCACACACCAGCCCCCACTCCCCCCCTTAACCCACTTGGAGCGTGCAGCTCCTCGCTGCAGCCGCTGCCATCCCCAGCCCGGGGTGTGCCAGGCTTTTGCTAAGTATAAGCCGACGCAGGCCAGCCCGCTGAAAAGCTGCTGCTTTTGTGCCCGCTCCCAAGGGCAAACAGCTGCTGTAAATCCAGGACTCGTTTTCCTCCTGTTCTGTAGGATGAAGTCATCCCTGTCTGGCCGTAGTTGAAGGTCTAGTCATCTGTCTGCTCTGTCCCAAGGCATGAGTCAAGGGCGGGCACACGTACGTGATGCTGTGCAAGGTGTGTGTCCCTGCCCGCGGCTCGGACACCCTCAGCACCCGCCACAGCATTCGGGAGGGATCCAGGGTTGCCTCAGCCTTCAGTGGGGAGTTTCTGAAGCCTGTAAGGGAGAGATTTCAGGTTCCTTCCCAGCTCCCCCTCCACCCACCTGGGAGGAAACCGGCTGCAGGTTTAGGGCTTGAGAAGCTCCTGATTTGTGCAGCAGTCAGGTGTGGCCGGGGGGGGTGTGACAGACACCCCTCCCTGCAGAGCACTGCTTGTGACTTTTTTCCCATTGAGTCTTGCCTTAACAGATTAATCCCCGATGCCTGCCGTTTGTGTGCTTACAGGGTTAGGCAGGATCTTGCAGGATATACAGCTGTGATTTATAGTGCCGTATCAGGATGGCAGCAGGATGCTGCTCGGCTGGAAGTGAGACATGGCTCCTCTCACAGCTGCTCTGCTGCTGGTCAGATCCTCTGGCCTCAGATCTCTGCTGACCTATTTTCATCAGCTGCGCCCAGCACGCAGCTGAAGAAGTTGGGAGCTAGAGCAGCTGCTCTTCCTGAGGTTTTTTCTCTGGCTGTAGGGCCACGAACAAGCCAGGCAAGCAGAACACTTCGTGGAATTTGCTTAACCCCATGTTGGAGACCAAAAATGGGTAGGTGTGCTTGGAGTCTGCTTTGCTAGCAAAAAACAAGCCAGCGCCTTTGCCTTCTGAGGCTAAAGCCATACCTAGATGCAGCTCATCCCACTGGGGGTCAGCAGCACTGTGGGAAGGAAAGGGCTGTGTTTGCCTCCTAATACGTGGCCGAGACAGACCTCATGTACAGAAGCAGGAGATTCTATAGCAAAACCGGGTGCTGCGGCGCGCGTGTGCTGCTTCCCCTGGGGAGCACCAGCGTGGGCCCACTGGGAGCCGCCGGGGCCAAGCACACCCACTGGGGTTTCAAGGGCAGCCGTCGGGGGGGCCCAGGGAAGCTCCCCTCTTCCTTGCTTCCTGCAGCAAGCACAGCAGCAGGTCTATAAACCACACTCCCTCCCTGGGCAGCAAGGAGTCACCCCAGAGGGGTGCCTGGCACTGCCCAAATGGTGCTGCTGGAGCTTCCCAGGGAGCCCCATCCTCCCGCCCGGGACCTGGGCGAGGAGGGGGCTGAGAACATCCCTGCTGAGCACTGAGTGCCAGCGCGGGGGCACGGCGGGAGCAGGCGCTGCAGCCCGGGGAGGGGGCACAAGGAGAGACATCTCCGCCCGTGGCCCCGCAGCCGGGGGCTGGGGAGCTGTGCCTGGGGCGGCCCTGGCAGCTCTGTTGGCTTTAGCCGTCTGTCTGTCTGTCCGTCCTGCTGCTGCTGCTGCTCACTGCAGCTGCTCAATGCTGCGGCCTCTGAAGGGTGCGAGTGACTCCGCAGCCTGGTTCCCAGTGTGTGCTCGGGTTTTAAGATGGGGCAAACCTTCACGCTTATTTTTTGGTTTAAGCAATAACCCAGTTCTCACCCCTGTCCTATTCCCTCCAGTTACAGCCTATGCGCAGACTTGCTGAGTCAACTAAGCCAAATCTAATTCACATCTTCACTCTCTCAGCACAGGTCTCTCTCTACAGGACCATGTTTATTGTGGATTAACGCACCCGAAATCAATCATGGTTCATGTGCAGCAGGGCAATGTCTATTTATGTACGTATCTTTAGGCTGAGTGGAGATGGGACTGCTAATCCTTTCTGACAGGGAGGTCACCCCTGAGAGTGGTGCCCCAGGAGGGCAGGCACCAAGGAGCTGGGGAAGCTGTGCCGGCCGGCGGGGGATGCCCTGAGTGTGTGGTTCCTCCACCCGCGAGCAGCTCCTGACTTCTCAGCTTTGACAGCAGCCCCTTCTCCCTCCGCGCTGCTTTCATCTTCCTCAGCTGCTTCTGATAAGGTCACTGCATCTGAAAACCAGATTTACTTTCAGTACCACAGTCGTTCCTCTCCTCTCTGCTGGAACACTGCCTCCAGCAAGGCAAAGCCCATCACAGCAGGAGCTGTACCATCCTGAAATACCCCCGCCAGGACCTGGGTGTGACCGGTACTGTCCCCTCAGCGGCGGGTGATGCTGGTGGCAAAAGGAGCAGCATCCGTACTGACCCTGGAGGGTGTTTGAGGGCTCCTGCCTCTGTGTGAGGATGGTGGCTGGGTGGGCTCGGTGAGGCGCCTGGGGGCGGGGGGACAGGGCAGTGCTCAGGGCGAGACCCCCTTTCCACCTGTAGCCATGGGCCGTGGCATCCCTACCCCCGGCACACACCCCGCCTGCGCCGGGACCCCCCCGCCTCAGAGGTGACAGAGCTGTGGGGTACAGCGGGCTGGGCCACAGCGCGTGCTGCACGGCCAGAGGCTCTTCTTCCCTTCCCTCCGGCAAACGCAGCGGCGCAGTGACCAGCAGCGCTTCTGGGCCTCCCCGTGTGTTCCTGGCACATCTCCGATGGCCGGGCCGCTGCACCCCCTCCCCGTGGGGTCACCGGGGAGAGGGGGGGGTTCTGCGATGTAGTGCAGGGCTGCGATTAGCACCAAACATGACATGCCGAGGCTAAAGTATCTAGTTAAAATATGCCGTATATTTGCTTTTAACGAGATGTTATGGAGCAGTTCATAAAAAAAAAAAAAAAAAAAAAAGGAAAAATAGGTGCTCCCCCACCCATTGTCTGTAAAGCTCTGTGAGAAACGGCCCGTGCCCACCACTAGCTGGGAGCGCCAGGCTCAGGGCAGGGGCAGCCAAGGGCAGCGCTGCTCTGAGGGGCAAAGTGCCCATTTCTTAGCTGCTTCTGCTGGCAAGCTAGCAGGCGGCGGGAAACGTACCCCCACTTTTGGTGGGTCGTACATAACCCCTGCCTGGAGGCAAGTCCACAGCGAGACAAGAATCTGGATGCTGTGCTAGCAGTAGTAAGAAGGGTCTCCTCGGCAGAGCTGGTCTAGCTGCAGGTAACTAGTCAAGCCGTGCTACTTCCCGTCGTCTGGTTGCGTGTTAAGTTAATGCTGTTCAGGTTAGGCACCGTGTCCTGCCCCTGGGGTCCCGGTTGAGGACCACCTCCAGGACCAGGAGATGCTGCCTTCCTGCTGGGAACCACTAAGGGCCCTGTTCTGGCAAGGCTGTGCCTGGGCTGCTCCAGACCTGGGTGTTCCAAATCCCGGCGGCTCCCGCTGAGGGACAAGCAGCGTCCCCTGCCCCTTCTGCTCTCCTGAGGCCAGATCTGCCCCACCGAGCCCTCCGCCTCCTGGGGCCATCTACCCCACCGTGGCTCCGTGGGTGGCAGGGTGATGGTGAAATGCCAGCCACGCCAACGACCTCGGCCACCCCGGCGGTGAGCTGGTGGCCGGGAGGAGCAGCTCGGTAAGTAGCAGGCCGGGAAAAACCCCCGTTGAGTTCTCGCACAGGCCTTTCGCCCCGACCTTCTGAGGAAGGAGCAGCTTCCACTGTCGGTACCGCGCCGGACCTTTGTGGGGCAGGAGGTGCTGCACCACGTCATTAACGCCTTGTCTCCCCCGGGGAGCGGCAGCGGGTGTCGCAGAAGGGCCCGTGCCCCCATCTCCTCCCCTCCTGCCGCCCCGGCCAGCGGCAGCCCCGTCCTCCCGGGTCTCTGAGGCGTCAGGCGCGTTGCAGGCAGCGTCCCTGCAGGAGCAGCGCCAGGGGCAGGAGGAGCAGCGGCGGCGAGAGGGTGACCTCGGCAGTGCCGCCGCAGTCTTGGGCATTTTCCTGGGAGATGGGAGAGAAGGCGTCAGCTCGCTTACGGCCAGGGTGGCCATCGACAGAGGGAAGGGGGCCCACCCCCTCGCCTTTGGAAGGGGGAGTGATGCCTGCGGCCAACAGGATCACGGGGACGGGTTTGATGCCTGTGGGCCGTGGCGGCCTTACTGCGAGTTGGGAAGCCACTCGCCTTCTCGGCTTTCGCCGGGCTCTGCCCCACACCCTGAAACTGATCCCTCGGCCTCGAAGGCTGCAGCAGGATCGACTCCCGCCTGCCGGTCCCTCCTGCAGCTCCTTCCAGAGGCCCCTGCCCGTGAGGGGGTCGCTGTGCCCGCTCCCGGCCCCGCGGGGCAGGGACGGGCGCCTGGGCTGCCCCACGCGCTGGGTGAAGGTGCCTGGCCCAACCCCCTGCCCACCCGGGGCAGCCTGGCTGCGGGAATCGGGGCTCCTCCAGGAGGTGAAACACACACCACACCCCCCCCCACACACACACCCCCCCAAAAGAAACCTGGCAACCCTGGGCCTGAGCTCAAGCCCTCCCCAGGTGGCACGAGCGTCACCATCCCGCTAGGAAGCCCCCTGGGGAGTCACAGGGCTGCCCCGGGGGTACCTCGGGGTGAAACGCGTGGCACGCGTCCGGCCGCCGCCTCAGCTTCTGGGACCGCATCCGTTCGCACTTCACCGAAGCGTTATGTGCGAGGCTGTTAAGGTCACTGGCAGAGGCAGGCAGGCAGGGAAAAGAGGGAGGAGCGCCGCGCGAACCCACAGGGCCCTGACGCAAGTTTTCTTGGCGCGACTGCCCAGCCCTGGGAGCCAGAGCAGGGAGGGGAAGGAGGGGAGGGCAGGTCACCCACCCTGCATGGGCTGGGGACATCACCAAGCCCTGCGAGGCGCCAGGGAACGACGGGCAGCTGGAAAGAGGCCAAAACGCGCGGAGAGGGCTCAGCTTCAGGGTGACGGGCTGCGCCACGGGGAGCGAGGGGTGAGGCACCCGGGAGCAGTGTCGGGGAGCCAGCCCAGCTGCACCCACCCCGCCACTGACCCGTCCTGACTGACCTCTGGCCTGTCCTGCCCTCGCCCCGCGCAGCTGACGGCCTGGCTTCCTCTCGAGGGGCTGGAAGGCAGAACCTCTACCTCCTCTGCACCACAGCCCCTGCCTGCTCCAGCTCTCTCTCTCTCCCCAGCTGTCCCACCAGCCCGGCCATGCCCTCCACACCCCTCCCCACCCACGGCAACTGCCTCGGGAGCACGTTTTCCACCCTAGAAAATACAGATATAAAAGGGCCTGTGGTGCCGTGCGTCCCTGCTGCGTGTGGAAGGATATATTTGACCTCTTTCACCTCCAACAGGACTGGTGGGAAGAAGCTGCAGTCGCAGGCAGCGTCCGTGACGAGGAGCAGCAGGTTACTGCTGGCGATCTGCTGCGCCACAAACATCCTGCAAGGAAAGAGCGGGCGGGAGAAAGCTCATCCCTCCTGCTGCTGCGCTGGGGCAGCAGCCCCGGCATCACCTGGCCCACAGCAAAGCAAGCCAAAGAAAACAGAGCTCATCGGAAACAGAATGTCAGCAGAAAGCAGGAGAGACGCAGCGAGCGGCCGTACGCACGGAGGAGGTGGCGTTGGCGCACCTTGTTGGCCTTGGGAAGCTCTGAACTGGCTCAGATTTATAGCTCCACACTAGGCACAAAAGCCAAAATCAAACCCGAAACCCAACCAACCAAAAGTACCAACCGCCAAAGCAAGCCCAACACAAGCCCTCCCCAAATGGGGCAGCATGTCGCAGCAGATGACACCTGAGAAGGCCTGGTTTCATCCGGAGGTGTGCCAATGCCCGTTCAACGTATAGGTATGCATATGCCTGCATAATGCAAGGATGTAGGTGCTACGTGGTCCTGCAAGGAGCTGGGTTCTGCTAAATTTCATGTTCCTGGAGTGAGAAATGGAGGAGCCCGGCATCATCGCACCTTCTGTCAGTGCGATGGGACTGACCAAGTGGTGCTTGGGCTGGCCGCTACTGCTGCAAAAACGCGCAGCTTCGCTTCCCAGCCGCGGTGTCGCCTGTCCCGTCCCCTCCCCGTCGGACAGGCAGCCGGCGGAAGAGGGCTGGTGACGAGCACAGGCACGTGCCGGCGGGGGTGTCTCTGGGTGCAAATGTTTGCCAGGAGGACGTGCAGGTGAGGGCTTGTGGAGGGCTCGTGTGGGCAGAGCAGGGTGTGGGCAGGCCCGTGTTTCATGCAGGGCTTTGTGCACGAGTGTGCGTGTGCCCGTGCCCGGGCAGCTCAGCCGTGTCTCTGTGCTCACGGGGCTGCCTGTGCCTGGCAGGGCTGCGCTGCGGCAGCCAGGCCGTGGCTCTGTGCGCTCCCGGTCCTGCCGAGCAGCCCTCGGGCTGCTGGGTTGGAAATACAGCTTTGTGAGGCTGTGCCCGCTGCGCCGACCGACCTGACTGCACTGGAGGACCACCCCGTCTCCCTGGTTCTTCGACGCCTAGTCTCGCTGCCTTCCAGCCTCCGGAGATTTCTGTATTCACTTTTAGAGGTGCTGAATGTCACACACTGCAGCGCAAAGATTTCATCAGTATTCCTGGCTGATGGCTGCTTTGACGAGCAGATTTTTAACCCACGCACACATTCAGTAACCAGGAGAGTGGTGCCCCATGCTCCAATCCGCAAGCCAACTTTTTGCCCGGGGGGAGCACCCAGCCTTCCCTCGCTCCACTGGGAACCACCGGGGCTTGCAAAATGTGATCGGGAAAGCCTGCACGCCCGAGCAGGCCACCGGCTAACGCTGCCCAGAGCCCGTGTTGGGGTGCCTGTCTCTCCCCAACACCTCCATGAAAGGTGCACGGGAGATGCACCCGGGATCCAGAGGCTGCAACTGTGCCTGTAACTACAGGTGGCCGAGCGGGACGCAGCGGCTGGCGGCGCTGGCAAGGTGCTGCCTCCAGCAAGGAGAGGGGTCAGGCCCAGGCTGCGCTGGCGGCAGGAATCTGTGTGGCAACAGCTTAACGCACAGACAGGTCGGTTCGGGGCACTCGGCTCCTCTGGATGTGCCCCAGAGTTTATTGCCCCGACACACTACCTTGTTGTCACCAAATCTGCAATCGCTGCTAAAACAGTGTTTGTTAAGGCCTGGTTTTCCTAAAGTCACGCTGACTAGCACAGGCTGTTTTCCTAACCTTTAAGCCTTTCCTGAGGTTGATCCAGACTAGGTAGATACTGGTTTTGGGGTGGTTTTTTTTTTTGTTTTTTTTTTTTTTTTTTTTTTAAGAGCGATTCCAGTCAGATCTGGTTGGATGCTTCATGCTAGAAAAAGCTGGACCAGTGGAAATTCATCCTTCTGTCACCTTTCCACACATGATTGCTGATGGCGCTATGCAACCGCTGTAAACAGCCTCTTTTCACAATGACTTTTCTGTTGGTTTTGACTGTTCAGTCTCTTAAAATGAAAACGGAGAATAAAAAAACGGACCCATGTTTTCATTTCTTTCAGTTTAACACTTCTTTTTTTTTCCCTCTCCCTGCTTTTTTTTTTCTTTCTTTTTTTTTTTTTTTTTTCTGTAGAAAAACAGAAAAGAGGGAAAATAAAAAGAGGAAAAAGAAAGCCGAAAGCATTGCAGAAAGGAAAGGTGTCTAAGCTGAAAACTTTGCCAGAAACATGAAAGAAAACAGAAGAAGTCCCTTTCTGAAACCTATGGAATGGAAAGATATATACATATTTAAATGTTCTTTCCCTCGTTCTACAGCCACCTCTGCTTATTAACAAGTGATCTTAAAGTTTTTTCTTTTTTACTGAAAAGCGCTAACTCGGTCACTTCACCTCCTCATTGCCTGGCGTGGCTGCTGAGCTCTGCTCCGTGGCCAGAGCTGCGGATGTGGCAGGGGCCATGCCACGGGCACAGCGACTCTTCTCAGACTGCCGTTGTCCCTGATGGGCTCTGCGACACGGCTCGCGTGCCGTCGCGCCCTGGGGAGCCCCCCCCAAACGAAAGGGAAGCTGCAATTCTTACTTTTGGCAATCTCCACACTCGATCAGCCCATTGGTCTCCTTGATGGCCGGCTCGTACACGAAAACGGGGTACTCGGTGTCGCAGGGCTGCAAGGTGTCGTGCTTCTTGTGCTTGTGAGCTGCGATGGTAAGGAGACAAGGTAAGAAAAGAAGGGCAGAGGATCCCCTAGGAGCAGGCTGCATGGAGATGGAAGCATTTAAAACTGCCTGCAGGAGCAGCCCTGCATGTTCCCCGCTCCCCGTGGTGACAGTGGCCAAGAGCAGGTGCCCACCAGAGAAGCAGGGGAAGGCGCTGCTGCAGAAAGCAGCCAGGCAGTGATCCCTGCTCCCACTAGGTGGGGTGGGAAAACCGACCTATGTGAGAAATGTGCCCAAGATACCCACTGGCCTTCCCCGAGCAAGCCTGGGCCCTGCCCGGCCAAAGATGCAGCCGTGGGGCCGCAGCGGTTGAAGCACCCCAGGGCCAGTTAGGCAGGGGCACTTGGATACTGGTACACCTGTGTGCAAAGGAGGAGTGGGGGGTCTACTAAACCAGCAGCGTTCATAAAGTCCCTCCCGTCTAACCCAGCTCTGGTTCACGCACTTTTTTAAACAGTCAGAGCTGCGACTGGGCTGAGCCTCAGTGCCTGTGCTGAGGGATCTGCCCCTGCGGGGACCCTGCGTGTCTGTGGTGGGGTTCCCCATCAACCGCTGGTCCTTCCTGAGCCCTCGGACATTTCAGGGTGAGCCCCCAGCAGGCAATTTCAGGGGTTCAATACGTGTCACGTTAAAAAGAAAACACCGCCAGCAAACAGACGTGGCCTGAGACCACGGGGAAGAGGGCGACGCTCCCGAGGCCCAGCAGAGACCCAGCTACCGCCCAGCGCTGGCTCCCAAAGGGAGCCATCCAGCACAGAGACGGGGAGCGGCTGCTCCATCGCTCCTCCCTCCCACTCTGTGGGACTCCCAAACTAATTTGGGGGTGAGGGGGAGCTGAACCACCTTACTGAACCTCCCCACGAGAAGCAAGAGCATCCTATCTGGGGGTTCAGCAAAGCCTGCCTTGCCTGAAACTACTGCCTTGGGCCCTTCTGGCAATTATTTTCTGCAGTTGGAGGTAGCAAAGGCAGCTCCTGACTTTGTAAGACATAGGGGAATGTTGCTGATGGAAATGCAAGGCTTTGTTGCTAGGGCAGAGGGGGGTTGTGGCTCAGCCAACAACAAGTATGAGAAATGGTTTCTACATCAGCTTTGGGTCTGAGCACAAAAGGCTGGCTCTGCAGCACCCCCCCCACACACAGCGGGGCAGGGGGGAGCAGGGAAGAGGGTCCTTCTGACGTGGAGGATGACCAGTTTATCCCTTGCAGCAGCGGTGCTGAATATTTATAGAAAAAAAAAATGCAGCAACATGGGTTGTAATCAGTAAATGTATGGTAAGAGGGTGCCAGGAGGGCATCCATGATTCCGATGGGTAATTTGCATTACTGTAAAACCCTCACTGAGAGCTATGGTCTCCTCTCCTCTGACACTGCTGGAGCACACAGAAAGAGGCAGGCACCACCCCGCAGAGCTTGCCATCTAAACAATGTGGATTACGTGAGAGAGAGAAAAGCCGGATGATTTTCTCTGATTTTTCTCCCCACCATGATGATCAAGTGACACAAGACATCCATTAAGAGCCAGGAACTGCAGCCCAGTCTCCCCTCTAATGCCTTTCCCAGGTGACTATGCTGGGTGCTCAAACACCTCCCTGCAGTACAGAGTTCCCCGTAGCTGTGCCTTGTGCTTTTCTTCTCAAAAAAATGTCACTCACAAGGCAGCCTCCTACTTAAATCCTCCCAGACTGTGGGCCCCACCTCTCGGTATCACGGTTAGGTTCATTTTGCACTGACCCAAAAGCACACAGGGCTTGATTTCAGCATGATGCCTTGCTCTGTATTCACCCTGGCTCCACACTAAATTAATCAACTAAACTTGTTGTTTCAGGGTCCAGCAGCAACTCTGCCGCCAGCCAGGAGCTGCCTGGCTGTGCTCGGTCATCATTCGCCATCCCTCTGCGCAAACCTCACACTGCAGAAGCACGGGAAAGCTTCTCCCATTTTTGCTGATGGAGAAGGCCTCTGACTAGTACCTGTCATGGGGATGAACAGTCCTGAGGCCATCCGGGATGAGCAGCAGAAGAGCCTGTTACTGAGATGAACTTCAAAGGCTTAGACATTTCTGATGAAACACACAGACTATCCCCGTTTATGCAGTAAGGCGAGAAGCTGCAAATGCTTTCCAGCTCAGACCAGCTCCAGGGCTGGTAACTGTATTCTGGTGGCAAGACCACGCATTGGTCCCTCAGCCACCAACCATCAAAGTCCTGCTGTGTTACCCCTGGATTTGCAGCACTGAGTGACCGGGGCTGTCACTGCAGCACAGCTCTTGGTGCAGGTTCTTGCTCAGAAAAACAGCTGTGATTGACTACAAAGGTGACCTGATAAAGTTGGGGCACAACTGCTTGCAAGAATTTAGCATATTGCTCATGTCGGGAGTGGCAAAGGGTCCTGACACAGCGGTGACTTCATCCAGGTCCTCATTTTTCCCCTGTCCCTGGTAAAGAATGACATCCATCACCAGCTCCAGCTTCCTGGTGTAGCGTCATCAAACAGGACGGAGTTAAAGCAATATAAAAAAAAACTGTTGTGAAGGACAGGGAGGAGGGATTGGGTAAATGAGACCGTCGGCTTGGAAAATATGGGATGGGGGGAGATTTGAGACCTCCCACCCTCAGCCAGTGTTGAATCAGGGCTGTCATGCTGGGCCCCAAGGGGAAAGTCAACTAAAGAGGCTGCACGATCCACACCCAGGACAAACCTAGCCAGCACAGCTTGCTGGCTTGACCTGCACACATGGGCAGGGGCTGGATCTCCGCTCTGGACACAGGACTAGAGAGGCAACAACTAAGCAGCAGTCCTGGGCCTAACTGTGCTTTGGTGGCACTCACAGGAGCAGCCTGTGCATCTGGAAGTAAGCAGTGGGAAGTGCAACCAGGTTTAGTCCCTCCAGGGGCACTTTTGCCACCGGCAGTGTGGCTAAAAGGCACTCACAGAAGCTGCGTTTCTGTTTGAGACTGTCATGACCGTCTGCAATTTGACTTGCTCTGGGTTAACTTCATCACGTGCACCAAGCTGTATTTTTAAACTCCGCTAAATTGGCATAAGTCCTCTGCCCAGAGCATCTTAAATCAATTTCTTGGCACAGGCTAAATGAAAAGAAGCCACTTTAAAATCTCCTAACTTCTGCACAGAGACAAGACCTATGACAGAGATTATGTTTAAGCCTAAAGTCACTTAATTTGCTTGGAAGCAGTGCAGCTGCAGCAGTATGGAGAAGTTCAGAGAAGCCTAGTAGCATGTACACCATCAGCAAAATGCTTGGGCTGAGCCTCTGCATGCACACGCTGGACATCAAAATGTTATCAGCGCTCTAAGAGTCTGGTGGTCAGGGATTAGTAAACAGTCAGAGGAGCTGATAACAAATTGCAAACTTTATAGCAAAGAGTGAGTTAATTCCAGGCTGTCATTGCTACCATCTGCACTTCCAGAAAGACTTTGTCAGACATTTGGCAATCAATCCTTCTGAGCAGAAAAGGCAGCCGCCATGCCTTCTTATGAACTATACAGCCCAGATTGTGAACTCTTTCTCACCAGCATAAATAAAGCACCCAAGTCACTGGATTTACTATGGGACTGAGACAAAATCTGCTACTCAGTTACAAATAAAAACCACCGAATTTAATCAATTATCTTGTAAAATATCCTCTGTGTACATTACCATGCACTCCAGAAGAAACTTCAGTGAGCTACAGAATTCTAGAAATAGTCCTTCCTAGACTGCATGCCTTGGCTGGAAGTATTTTTGGCTTAATTAAAAGCTTTCAAACCTGTGGTGATGTCCATAAAAGAAGAAGCCCTTACAAACACAGAGAGGAATGAGATGCTGAAAGCAGTGAAAAATCTGTGGAAGAAAACATGTCTTCTCACCACTTCTGAAAAGCAGATTTGCATGATGAGTGCAGTCTGAATATATTATGCCCATATTCCAATACCAAGTCTCACCTTCCCAGAAAGCAAGAGAACTTGGGAAGCAGAAATAGGCTCAGCACTGCAGAGCCAGAGGTGCACAGTCAGGCAAGGGTGAGCATTAGATCCCCAGCTGTTAATTCCTCTGCGCGTAACCCTGAATGCACGTATGCTCAAATTCCCTCTCACAAAATGTCTCCTTCTCTTCATGTTTTTTCCATACAACAGCCTTGGCATGGAGTCAAGAGAAAGTTAACATCTCTGGCAAAAATCTACAGCCCCTTCTTAACAACATGTGCAAGCCATTTCTTCCAGCCCCAATAGTATTCTTCCACCTTGCTACTCCCCCTCATGCATGGACACTCTTTTTTCCTTTTCATCTGTAGACACCCTCTCTTTCTCTTCCTCTTCTTCATATAGTAAGACACATTCCAACTGTCTCTATTTCTCTATCTCTGTCTCACACCTACGTCTCGCTGGGCAGAGAGCAAATCGGCAAATATAAGCTAGATATGGAAACAGGGAGATACAAACACAGCCACAGTCTGGACTCTGTCTTGGAGGGATTTCTAACTTGCCTGTAGGAGCAGATTTATGAGCTAGAGTGTATACTTATCAGCTGAACTGCTTGAAAGTAGTTCTGCATTGTCCTGGAGCTGGGCTGGGATTTGTCAGAAGGTGCTAAGCCATGGGGTGTGGAAAAGAAGACTTAAGTTGCCTCTTAATAACTGAAGGCTACAAGACCCAGCTAGGTTTTCCTGCAAGAAGGCACTGGTTGGTCTTTAATTTTGGTATAACGACTGAAAAGAATGGGGCAGTAGGGAACCAAAGTGAAGGACATGCCGTGGTACACTGACTATGGGCTTGTCTATGCCACAGTAATAAGTGAAGGCGTTGTCTGTGCCAGCAGTCCCTGAGGAGGCTGGTGAGTCCCCTCTTTTATTGACTTCTCAGTGACAGACCTTTAATCACCAGCTCAGCCAGCTCAATGAGCAACAGCATCGCTGGCTTCTTTGCAGTGCACGAGAAATAGAGCCAGGCACTGCCTTGTCCCTGTCACACCTTTCTGCAAGTTCCCCATTGTCCAAAAGATGGAAAAAAGTCTTTCCTAGTCTGAGTTTTCTAGCTAAATCCTCCTCTTTTTGCTGTTAAGTGGTTCTACTTACAGTGATGGAAGACAGCCTTGGCTGGAAAGGTCGCATGACACACACAGACACACAATGAAGATGGAGCCATGTGGCAGCGCAACGGAGAGATGAATCAGCACACAGCAGTCATGGAGGTGATGTGGGAGAGAGATGAAGAAAGCACAAAAGGAAATGGTGATGAGCAGGGCAGCCGCGAGAACCCCCTCCTTTTTGCCTCACACCTCCTCAAGCACAGACTCCCGGCAGCTCCCTGCACGAACACCATGTCGGTCTGTCCTCAGAAAGAGCAGTCCCACCTGCACTGCCACAGGTACCGCACTTGCTCATCTGACTCTTCCTCACCAGCTTCTGCATGGGGTCACCCCCGTCACCCTGATGCGTGTTAAGCAGCAGCCAGGGCCGCATAGAGGATGGCTGCAACTTCTACCACCATGTCTGGAGATCCTCTTTGGAGGTGAGTGGGACCTAAACAGTACCTAGACATCGGTCTGGTTCTTTGACTAGAACGAAATTTTGCTTTCTAAAACTGACTGTTTCCCCATTACACAAGGAGAGTTCGTTCAGTGCAGAAGACTCAGCCCCCACAGTTAGCAGGGAAGGTACCAGTGTCTCCACTAAAAGCACCGTTAGAGCTGAATAATTCTTGGGGATGAAATAATGGCACCCACATGGCTGCACAGAGCACAGCTCACCTTTCCGTTTGGGTCACCTCAGGGCCATTAACATCCCCTTGCCTGCAGGGACAGCGGTGGGACCGCAGAGACCCCCGGGATGTTTTTAGCAGGCAGCACTGCAACGGCAGGGCAGGTCACTGGATTTCAACCCAGACATACCCCTCAGCTGCTGTGCAATGCCATGTGCCATCATCTTCTCTCTTCTAGAGAGGGTCCAGTGGGCAAGTGAAGACCCTCAATGTGTTATTTGACCCTTACAGGTTTCTGGCTAGCTTTCTGGGACCCCTGTTAGGCTCTGGAAAGCCTGCTCCTCAGGCCCTGCTTTGTTCTGTCCTGTGGGCCATCCTCAGGAAAAACCGGGAGTCTTTCCAACCGAAAGGCTTTGCAGCTGATGGTCTCTCTCATCCCAGTGCACACAGGGTGGGGGTCCTCAGAAAGGAGAGCCTCCCCCCCTCCCGGCAGATCCCCTGAGGAAAGCAAGCGGCCTGCTCCGAGCCGCACACACCTCACCCTGACCGCTCCGGTGCTGCGGCAGCCTGAAATGGGGGTGGGAATGGAGGAGGATGGGGTGGGGCTGGGACCTGGAAGCTGCATTCCAGTGTCTGTGGAGGGGGAGGTGGTGGGGCAGGGTGGCAGGCCCCCTCGCACGAGGCCAGGCTTCCCCATACAGCTTCTCCTGCCGCCAGTGTCTGTAACTCTCACGTGCTATGGGGTGGCTGGACTCTTGTGTACTCACCATCTGCCAAGTTGTCTGAGTGCCAGAAGCTACTCATGTTAAACTCCAAAAGGAAGCTGTCAAAAGAGCAAGAACAGAGGATGCTTTTTCAGCTGCCTGGAAGGATGCAGGTGTCAGGGAGATGGCCCCGTCGCCCGGTGAGTATCAGTTCTAAAATGTTTACTACGAATTTGCTGGCAGTGGAAGTCTGAGATTTTTTTTTTTTTTTTCTCCCCTCTCCACATGACGAAGTGTAGCTCTGTAACATGGGATCTGTACCGTGGAATATATGAATGGGTTTCATCCTGAAGTACATACTGTGTGTGGGCCTCACCAGCTAAGGAAGGAATGAGTACAGCAGCCCCTGAGGCTGGGAGGGGGTTCATTCACCATGAGACCCACCTGAGGCGCAGGGAGCCCGTACTCTGGCTACTCAGGAGTAGCTGCACGTCACATTGAACTGTTCTGTACCAATATGCCCAAGCCCTCGGAGCTGGATCTTTTCCACTCCTCCCCTTTTGCACACCCAGCAAGCTGAGCAGCGGCACTTTCATCCTAATTTGAGATTGAACTCTGATTTCCCCCAGCAGTTTGAGGTGAGCCCAAAGCTAGAGCTTGATTCAGGGCCTCCCCTCTTTCTTCCCTTGCCTGTCACTCAGAACTGAGCTCCCTGGCTTCCTTCCTTCAGCCTTCGCCCCCTGCGAAGTGAAGGTCTGCGTTCGCTCATCACGGGCCAAGGAGACAGGCAAGAGGACTCGGCACCAGGGATCTGCACGGGGCCCCGGGAGACCCGAGTCCTATTTCTGACTCCACCACTTTGTACTGAGTGACTTCAGGTAAATCCCAGACCTACTTCGGGCCTCTGCCTCTCAAAATGGGAATAGTAATAGCTTTCTGTCTCCCGGGAGCAGGGCGCTGAGCTGAATGTCAGGAGAAGGCTGAGAGCAATGCCCTACGCGGGGGCCTCCGCTTGCGGCTTTCTCAGCTCTCACCCCTGTTTGGTCTGAGCCTCCCAAACACCCCCACCTTTTGGTACTCACATGAGGAAATCACTTATCAGCCATTTCACTGCAGCTAGAAAGGCATAAATTGGCTGGAGAACAAAAGAAGAAATGAGAAATACCATAAGGATCTGGCCAGAGAGTTTATAATTGTTATGCAGGACCCCAGTTTCAGAGCAGTTCCCTCCACTGATCAGAGCTCTTGAAGACAGGCTGGAAATTCAAGGTCTGGGCATCACTTGAAAATGTTCAAAATACATCAAAAGCCAGCAGAGCTGCCTTGCTACTAATAATATCTTCTCACCCTCTCCCCGTCAGGGTCAGGGAGTTTATCACAAATGTATGAAGGACTTTGAAGATGTAATTGCTTGATGATTTCTCTCCAGTATGGATGACCTTGAGAGCTCAGAGCAGGAGAGAAACAGCTAAATGGGACACCACCAGTTTAGGATGCTTTCATGTTCTGACAGCAAGTGGTGTTTCTGGGACAAGTGACAGCATTGCCCAGGATTTAGTATTATCTGCCATTGATTGATTATGCTTAACTGTGCTTTCATCCAGCTTTTCCTCAAGATGGCATGACTTCTATCATCATCTTGCTTTTCAGCTACAAATTGGAAATCCAGCATTGTCCCAGGGACAATTCATCTGCAGAGGATCCTGCTGCTTCTTTTCTTCATGGTAACCATGTCTAATTTTCATCTCTACCTCTCATAATCATGCCTCAAACCCAAAACAGATGCAGCAGTCACAGGACACAAGATAATGTTCCATTACTGCCAACTGACTTGTCTTCAGCCAAAATAAGTCAGCAAATAGTAAAATGTATAGATGGCTGGGAATTTGACTGATTTTTGTGTATGTATGTGAAAAATGGACTCTTCTTGATTTCTTCCTTTTCAAGGGTTTTGCTAAGAGGTAAGAGGAGAGATGGAGGCTGAATGCTCACCTTTTTATTCTCTTCTCAATTCACCTCATTTTTTGCAGCTCATATGTTGTGACGTTTCTTCAGAAATCAGAATTGGAGGGTATGGTCAAGCAACTGTTTTCACTATAATCACCGTGTTTTATCTATCCAGCTTAAGTACAGCCATTGCAAAACGGATATGTTGTTAAAAACGTAACATGTTAAAAAGTAGTATTTTGTTGAAAATTCTCTTACTGGAAAAAAATTACAACGTCACACTGTAAGAAATACTTCTAGCACACTGCATTTTAAAGTATAAAAACCCGATTAATAAACACATCCCTGTTTATGGTTGCTTCAACTAGTTTGAAGTGGCCTGAGTGTTGAGTAATTACTTAGTTCTGCCTGTTTGAGGCCAGGCTGGGAATGTAGAGTGGGATTAGTTTATTAGCTTGGATCAGTCTAAAGAGAGGATACACTTGGGTACTGGCAAAACTATTCACTCTGATAGTTTGTTCCCTGGGCTATCAGCATTTCTCAGCAGCTTTAACCCCTCTCACTGTTGCTCCAAGCCCACTCGCGCTTCCCTGAAAGGCCGACAGCTTTCTCTCAGATGCTCTGTTCCTGACAGTGCAACTCTCCTTTTTGAGCTGCTGAGGAAAATCAGGCCCTGTAAAAGCATTTCTGTTCATTTCAGCTGCTAACTGATTCCTTGGTTTTTAGGAAAAGCCTGGCATAGTCTAGTTCCTGTCCTCTCCCTGGTCCTTCCGATTTTCAGTGAGATCCTACATGCCAATAGAAAGCCAAATTGGAAACCACAGTCAGTGGCCATCACTGCCTCAGAAATCTGCCTTAGATGAGTTTGGATATTCCCATCCCCTGAAAGCAAATACCTATTAAACTCTTTTGGGGAAAGTGCTACATCAAGGTGCTGGAGATGTCCTAGGAGAAAGCCTCCACAGCCAAGCCCAGAGAGGGCTGCATGCTGACAAATACGTACACTGAGCAGAGGCCGGGCACCGCTGTGGTGGTGGTAGGGTGGTTTGCACATTGCTTGATAATCATACATGGTCACCCTGCAATCAAAACAAAACAAGCAGGCAGTCAAAAGCAAGCAATGCAACTGCTTATGGGACACATCCATCAGCTTTTTCTAAAAAATTTCCTGTCTTTGCTGTTTGGCCAGCACCGGATCTTGCAGAGCGAGAAATACGGGCTCTGGATTAATGTATCTGGGTCAGTATAGGAGGAAATATGTCCCTAATTTCAGATGGTGAGTAAAGCAGCCTGCGAAGCAGGAGACTATAATTCTAACTACCTCAGGTCCACCTAGTTACTGTTCACAAACCACTGAAACTCTGAACTCTCCTTTGGCATGGGCTGGAGGAGTGGACTGAGGTAAACAGAGGTATTTTTAGGAGAGAGAGAAATGTGCCCAGCCAGCTGCAACGCCACATCTGGGGTGGTTCTCAGACAACTGCTCACAGAAAGGCTTTCCAAGTGGCAGGAGGAACTGAAGCACTTTATACCCAAAATGCCAAGAATTGTTTCTCATAGCATCTTGCCCTGGAAAAGACAGAGGAGCAGCTGCTTTCTGGCCACAAGGAGATTGGGAGTTACTGTCTCTCGGTGCTTTACAGCAGGTGAAAGAGCAGGAGATAAGGAGAAACAGGGTGTGTGGTGAAGATGGCTGAGCGAGTCAGAGGAGGGAGCAGGTAGCTAAAGGAGCTCTTGTATCAAAATAAGAGAGTCACGTGCATCAGAGCGTGCATTTCCCTCTGCTCAAGTGCTGCTTATTTGGACCAATATGCTCTGACCCACACACCAGCTGAAGAAAGAGACATACAGCGTGGAGACCCCCCACTTACCGCCTGAACATGCCCATGTTTAGCAGCTGGGTCATTACTGAGCCATCCACTGCACCAAAAAATTTTCCAATCTGCAAGCACAAGAAAGGCAAAAAATCAAAATAAACCGACAACAGTAAAATTTCCAAATGCTCGATGGCTCCAGCCAATCCAGCCTGTCTGGAGGCCTACAACACATAATGAACGTTTTATAAGGAGGTAATGCTGAGCTTTATCCTTTAGCTGGCTGGAAAGCTTGAGGGAGGACTTCCCCCATCGCCAGCTGGGCATGCTGCACTGTTCCTACCACGCTTGGAAATTATTTAGCCCACGTAAGTCCCTGCAGCTTGTGACAGAAAAGGGCAGACTCTCAGGCTGCAGAGACCCAGGCACATTGACTCACTGGAAGCCTGGGCTCCCCTGTGGGTTTTCGTGAATCCACATTCTCCGGATCTGAACTGCTGAGCCTCTTCCACTTGAGCCACTCTGCTAGCCCACGGCCACGGTGGCTTTGGAAGCCTCTGCTCTCCTGCTGCCCTAGGCAAACCGACCCACCTCGCCTAAGTGTGCTGTACAGACTTATTTAGGTAGCAAATGCAATTTTACAACTCACTGCCGTGCAAGTTCCGAGCAGGCAGTAACCCGAAGAACACAACACAAACCAGTCCATCCCTTCAGCTTACATACTATGCACTGGCATAACCAGAGCTGTTGCACGGGCTCCACTCTAGCAAAAGTTGCATTTGGGGGGCAACAACCCCCAAATCCTGCTTGCATGCCTGGACTAAAAGCAGAGCTTGTGGCCCTCTGGTCCCATTTACGTTCTGGAGTCAATAACCTCAGAGTCTGAATCCCAATTCTGGGAGCCCACTGCTTTACATACTTCTTCAAACAAACAACAGTTCTGGCTTTCCTGATTGCTAAACCATGACAAATCTATTGCAAAAATGCCTCAAATCTGCCAAGTCCATTGCTTTGTTTGCAAGCAAGTAAATAAAATACTCGTAAATAATAAAAGCACAGATATGAGCTGTCCTCCATATATTTCCCTGGCTCATGGATCTTGACACAGTAAATAGCTCACATATGTTATGGAAGCATTCATGCAGTTTGGGGCACATTTTACTTTTCCATTGATAGGCTAGCAGTCATTTAACACATATTAGCAGATGACAGATGACTTCATTTATTTGAGTAGAGCATTTCCACTAAAAAAACCCCCTTAGGCAGATTTACCTAAGTTCATATGGTAATCACCTAACAGTAGTGTTACATGGTTATGAATCTCTTCCCTACAGGCTTTAGAAGGCATTTCACTGTATAAATCGATATATAACATCAACTCCCCTTCGAGCATTTAGGCTGTAATCGTCTCAGACGTAGTCAAATGTGTCTGAGCAAGTGCTAACTTTTTTTACCTCCCTCGCTCTTTCAGTCTGATTAGGGTGGTGAGGAGGCCAGCTGCTTCCATTTAATACCAGTCTGCGGCACCAGCAGGAGCTGAAGTGCTGGGATTTAATGCAGTGCAAGCTGCAGCTGATGTGACAAGGGGAGGGGGCTGCTGCAGGACTGTAGATGGGGCCTGCCCTGTCCAGAGGTGCTGATATCTGATCAAGTTTCTCCAGGTAGGATGTCATTCCTACAGGTACAAGTATGGGGAGCTATTAGTGTAACATCCCTCTGCCGTGTTTCTCCTACCTCCCAGCTCTGAGCAGGTTTCCACAGGCCCTTGCAACTTCAGAGGTTCCCCACACAAAGCATCACCTCTGACATGCTGCATGGCACATGCTGTATCGTACCGCCCTGCAGCCGGGAGCATACAAATGCATATGCAGGCTACGCACAGGAAAGATGCATCCTGGAGCACACAAATGCCTCAAAAGGTACACCACTGCTCACGGACATATATGTGCTCACGCTTTGCTGGCTTGTTGAGCAATCTGCACTTTTGGTACACACAAATACTGTAGAGAAGTGGGAGCTGCCAAATGGGCCAGGCTTTGGGTCAGTAGGCAGCCTCCTCGCTGCGTGGCTCAAAGCCAGCCCCTGCTTCTCCACAGCCCTTTGGTGGGATCTTGGCCTTCTAGGTGCCAGCCTGCACCCTGTCCCTGGAGTCCCATCTGGGCAGAGCTTGCAGCTGTACCCTGTAGAGGTCTCCTGCAACATGCCTCAGGGAGAAGGCATCGGTCCTAGAGAAAGAGCTTTAGTGAGCGGAGGGACATCTGGATGCAGCAAGCGGAGGGAGCTCCAGACCTGTGATCCGCAGCTGTGCCTCCAGCTGGCAGCAAAACGTGGCTAAAAAGCTCAGGGATGGTTGTGGGTCCATGGCTGCAAACATCAGCAGAAACATAGCACCATAGTGTGGGGCAGCCCTCGCTGCAGCACAGCCCAGGCCTGCTACTTACTTTCCCTTCTTTCCCTGCTCCAGATCATCTGCTCCTCTCTCTCACTCACTCCCTTCTCCTGGATCTGGCTATTAACTCTTTGGTCCTCCTGCAATGAGTCTGGATGGGGAGATAAGGCTGAATTAAGGTTACCCATTCTTCCCCAAGTAATCCTGAAGGGAGCTTCCAACTCGTTACTCATTAAAATCCCGAGTCCCTCTTCTGCTGTGGCTTCTGGCTGCTGGTAAACTTCCTGCCATCTCCAGGCAGAGGTTATTAGAGCCGATACCCCAACCTGATCCCCCATCCCAAGGGCAGAGGGGAGCAGAGCCTGAGCCAGGCAGTTCTCGCCCTCTTCCTGCATGAAGCAACTCTGGTTTCCAGTGTGGTCACCCAGGGAAGGAGGCGCAGACAGTGGGCTGAGCACGCAGTAAAGCACCAAAGCCCCAAGGGAGCAAGCAGAGAGATGGAGCAAAACTTCTCAGAGCCCTGGAGTGGGTCTCTGGCACCAGCTGCTCACACTGGGGGCTGTAAGGACACAGGCACTTTGGCACCGCCCCGCTATTCTTAGCTTGCACTTTGCCCCGGAAAGTGGGTGTTTTGGATGCGAAAGCTCCTCAGCTGCCTTCCTCGGGGAAGTGGGGATGTGCGTGGGGCCCTGCTGGCGCTGGAGCCGTCACAGCCCACGCGGCCCAGTGGGGCAGATGGCTCACCCGCGCACCCTCCCTCCTTCAGCATCCGATAAGGTCACTCCCATCCCGGCTGGTGAGGCAGAACAGGCAGAGTGTGGGCAGGTTGCCCTTCTTCCCACTGCCGGGCTCAAACACCGACCGAGGCAGCTGAGCCACTCTTGCTGGTCCTCGTGTCTGGTATGAGGCAGGGAGGGAGAGCATTAAGCTAGCTGACATCGCCAGAAAGGCCAAATATCCACAAAAATCCATGTCTGGGTTTTTTTTTTTTTTTTGGCATTATGTTAAAGGACGCACTGAGGGAAGAGTGTGGGATGCGGCAGGGATAGCAGCGGCAGGTGATCCCACAGAGCAACACCCAGGTGACAAGGCTATGAAATGCAAGGTATTGATTTAATGCTCCTGCTGTCTTGAATTCCCTGTAGGGTTTAACACTTTGGACACTCATGGTGCCACCAAGAAATAAAAGCAGTAACTGGAACAAGATAAAGAAGTCAGAAGAAAAGTAGTGATGAACTCTCTGAGGTCAGGGGAGGTAACAGCTGGAGGAGATGACAGCTCTGGTGCCTGCCAAAATGCCTGATCTTGGAGGCATGTGGATAATGTTTCTAATTTACGCAAATCCACATTTCTTTTATAATGCCATGTTTCTGCTAGTCAGATCTTTCAGAGACGAGCTTTTGGAAAAAAACATTTTCCATAAGATGCAGGAAAAATACAGAGACAGAAACCAGGGGGGTGATGATGAGGGCAAACAGTAGACATGATAGCTAAAGGGTGTAGTTGCCCTGATGTATGGACACATGCCATAGGACTCAGTAAAGCACCTTTGAAAACGCCATGGGAGTCAGAGGAGGAAAGAGCAATTCCTAAGACGACCAGCACATCTCAAACACACAGAAGGACCTGGCCTCCCAGAGTAGGGAGCCAATACAACTTTACAGAATTTTCCTCCCTTATTTTTCAAGTTTTCTTTGCCTTTTTTTTTTTTTTTTTTTGGCATACCACGTCACTGAAGGGGCACTTTTACTGGAATATTCAGTGTGTCAGGTAGGTCACTTTCCTGCAGAAAAGAGGTTGGTTATTCCTTGCAATATGCCCCCTCTTGATATCTGTCTGTATCACCCCCTGGTGCCACTCTGTTGCTGATTCATTTTTCTTTGTGAGTCTCAACAGTTCTCATCTTGGCCTCTCCGAACTTACTGTGTAGTGCCTGCAGAATTCACGATCTCACCTTCTTCTTTTGCCAGCCTCTTCTGAATATGCTAACCAACACAAGTCCAGATGGGAAACCACGGGACTCATACAGCTGACGTTTTCCATCTAAATATTCATCTAAAAATTCCTCTTTTTTTTCTGTCCCAGCTACTTTGAGATCAATGCCACTACTTTACACTTCACTCTTTAACCAGAACTTCTTTAACAGACTCTTGTAAGGGACTGTTCAAGGCTTTTGGAAAAACTGAAATGAAGTAGGTTATCCATTCTCCCTTATCTCCTGATTTACTCACACTTTCAAAGAACCATAGCTGATAAAATAGGTTTTCTTCCTTTATAGAAGCTGTGCTGCTTGTCCCAGTCACAGCCATTGGGTGTTCTGATACTTTATTTTTAATTTCCACTTCAACCTGTTTCTCACATCTTCGAGACAGTAATTTTTGGGAACAGATCTACTTCAGTTTGGAAGTATGCATACAGTATTTGTTAACTCCAATACTATGGCAATTTAAATGAAACTCCACACTTCTGTCAGTAACAAAACCACTTAATTTCCCATTTCTTCTATAAGCCCACTTTTGCTATTGACTTACTGCTTTGTAGTTTATGAAACTGTTCTAACACGTCACTTTCTGACATCCAAATATATGATCTTTTATTATTTTGCAACAAATACCTCTGTGGTGAATTTACTGGAGAGCAGAAAGGTATAGCTAAACCATGCAGTGTCTGGTAGTGTTAACTTTACCCAGGGTGCACAGGATGTCACATCACAAACCGCGCCCCTTCAGCTCCCTAGAAATGGTGGTGGAGGTACTGGCAGCAGTAGGAAAGGAAACAACCTTTGTTGTCCATATTTTTATTACTATTCTGAATCTTTTTCCTTACTCTTTTCACCTCTGCGAGTACAGTAAACCCTTCAGTTCTTTAGGTGTGCTCCTGTTTCCAATTTGCTTAAGTGATTTTCTCTTTGGCATTTTGCTCTTACCCTTCCCTTCACAAACCTGCCTTCTGGGACTGTCTCAGATCGTCTTTCAGTAGCATCTGTGCTGAGGGAAAGGAGTCTAATTTCCTCCCTTCTGATAAAAAGATATTTTGACTAGTTCCTTCCTGCAAAATCCTTCCTCACCTAGGATGTGCTGTCACTCTGCCGGGAGGCTTCCCCCTCACTGCACAGCTGAATTTAATTACACCGTGGCCACCTTTATTACACAATTGAACTTCATTTGTTTTAACGAGCTCTGGAGGGTTATTTACGAACAAGCCAAGCACACTCTCCTCCTCTTATGCTCTCTTACCTCTGCAGGTCTTTTGGAAATTAGTATAAAGCCGTTGTTATCAATGAGGAAGCAATTCAGAATCTGCAGAGATGAAAGAGAAGCAATGTTAAAGACAGCTTTTTCCATGGTTGTGTGGTACGTACTGCTGCGTGCAGGATGGAGCGGTGTGGGCTGGTGCTTATGGCAACAGCCTCGGCATTTCCATGCCTAGCCCTACGGCTCAGCTACCACGGGTTTTACGCAATTGACTTTTCCCTCTCTGCCTCCATTTTGAGGTATTTAGTTTGTGAGCTGCCTGTGGTAGAGATTGTCTCTTGCCAGGGCTGGGTGCAGGCCTAGCAGGCTGTGAGCCACACATCCTGCAGGGAGTGACAAGACACTTGGACAGCACTCCTCTTTAATAAAATGGTATCTAATGCTTTCCATCTCCAGATTTCAGAGTTTTATAACCACTCACGAAATAACCTTCTCCTCACCACTGAGTATCAGTGCTGGTCTTATTTTTATTTTGCAGAGCAGGAAAGGGAGGTACAGAGTTTAGATTAAAACCTCTAGGTCTTACAGGGAAAAAAACAGGATACAGAGGAAATCCTACATGAGTATGGAAAGAAAATTCTCTGGTGATCCCATTCTCCAGGGCAGAGGAGCTCCTGTCCCAAATATGCCCGAGACCAAGGTTGAAGCAGTGGTATAAATGCAAAGAGGGGTGTCCAGCATGCACATCTTTGAGGAAGACCTGGGACGCCAGTGAGACAGCCTTAGAGGAGATGGACTCTCCTTAGAGTCGCTGGCTGGAATCCCCATGGCCCTGCCCAGGCTCAGCTGACGTCTCACAGCTGAGGGAAAGACCTAAGCTGCAGGTTTGTCTCAACAGCAAGAAGTCTTGCCCCAGCTGTGCTACCTCTTGTGAGGACATGACAGGCAATACCTTTTTTTTTGGGGGGGGGGGGGGGTGTGGAGAGAGATCTCCACAGAGCAGGTAGTCAGTCACAGCCATTGCAGGTACAGACAAGAAATATGAGCAACTTACATCATCCTGACAGCTTAGCGGACAGGCACCGTCCAAGGCACTGCACTGGAAAGGAAAATCAGGGGATTAACCATGGCATGATCTCATTTTAGAGCGTCCCCCTTGGGACTGCTGAGCTAAAGGTCTCCATACCAGCATCCCATGCAATTTAGCTGGCGTCTCCACCAAGATGAGCTCTACAGCAACGTCCCCTTTGCTGAGGGCTCTGATCCTGCACCTGCCTCCCTGACACGCTTCCAGCAGTACCTCTGCACTTCGAGCAGGGGTGGCACTTGTAAAGGGGGCAGCACCAAGCTCTGTGGCTGTGAAAGCAAAAGTTATTGTGCACCAGGGAGAAACCAGCATGCGTTTCAGCATCTGCTAGTATCTGGACTAAACACATGGCACGGTATTTTAGATCAGGATTCTTCTCAAGCAGGAATTTTTTGTTGTTGCTGTTGGTTTCTTTATTCTCCAGGCAGCTAATGATAAAATAGGATGTGAAAGATGCTTGTGTAGCCCAAGGCACCATCCATTTGTTTCATTTAGGATTTCTGTGTACTGGACTTGACATGTGTTTCACAACACTGCACCATGTGGGGACACGAGGGGTTAAGTGGTGAGTAACAAAGCCCTTCAGGTGCTTATTGATTTCATAATTGTTCCAAGTTTGCTGTGGCTGCCTGTGGCTGTCTCCTTGTGTTATTTTTTCAATAACATTTTCTCTAGCAGCAGAGGGAAGAAAGCTGACATGGTGTTGCCATTTCTGTACACAGGGTCCCTTTCCTGCCAGAGGTTTTCTGGGGTCAGGGAAGGACACTGATGTGTGGCATAGCCTGCCTGCTCACAGCCAGCTGCCCTTTATTTCTGAAAAACCCTTATACAAAAGACTCAGCCCCTTTTCTGGATGATTCTCAGTAACAAGAGGTGAATTTGCCATTTCAAACCACAAGAATATCATTACTTTCAGTTAGAATTTGTTTCTCCTCTTGAGTTTTGCATAACAAAACCAATTGTTTCAGGTTTCCATCCCTCTGCTCAACTTCAGAGGAGGCTTGTTGATGCCTGAGTTTGTTTCAAGCCCTGTGGCTTTGCAAAATTGCATGCTCGTGCTCCAACCCTCACTGGCTTATTGAGGCTCTAGGGACAATGGTTTAAAAACATCCCATTACCCACAGTTGCAAGCATCATCTCACCCCTGCCTCACCACAAATCAGCATTGGGTTGTTTTGTCTCCCTGGACGTATGCACAGAAGTGGACCTGTACTTCATCCCTGGCAGGTTCCTTCTTTTAGTCAGCAGAGAAATATGGCCACAACGAACCAGAGATCAGAAATCAGAACAGAAACCCAGGTAAATCAGAGTGGTTTCCCACAAGAAGGGCCTGTGTCTCACAGCATCTTCCTCAGCTTATGTGAGGCCTGAGTCTGGCCACTGCTGCTCTTACAGGCCTGGAGAAGCTCCAGCAGTGCCCGGTGCTGGGCTGGCTGTGGTGCAGCGGGAGCGTGGTGAGGAGCCTGGTCTGAGGGCATTGGCAGCTTGCAGGGAGCCCCTGGGGCCAGGGGGCAGAGCTGAACCCGAGCTCCCCGGTTGCTCTGAGACCACGTCTACTGCCTTGTGGGCACAGGTCCCTCCTCAGAGACCAGCCTACCTCACAGCTTCCTCCTGCTGTTGGTCATGTTTCTGAAACGCTGTGACCCAGAGCTCTTTCAGCTTTGCCAAAGACACTTAATTACTGTGAAGACAAACACAGCCTGCGACAGGCTTGGACTGTCTCCAGTGACTACAGACAAGGGACAGTGCCTAAAATACGCTGGCACACAAACGGCACAATTGTGAAGCGGAGCTGCAGCGAGGCACGCCAGGATGCCTCCCTGTCCCCAGCTTTTGTCTACTTACATCACTGTCATTGGGCTGGGAGATGGGAGGCACAGCGTGGACATCCAGAGCGGCACAGCATGTGGTGAAGCAGGAGAGAGAGAGAAAACAAAATCTGTTAGTCATTCCTCTGTCAAAAGGCAGTCACGTCCTGGGAAACCATACGCAGGCTTTTTTCATACCAGCACCTACAAGGGCCACAGCATGCAGGCACTTGGCACACAGGCCTCCTTTCAGCTTCTTTAATAAGCCTTCCCGGTTCCACTGATCGCCCATGGGGGCTTGTTTGTGTGAGAACTGCCTGGGTATGGCCCACAGGAGATTTTTAAAAATGAAGAGCTCTGCTGACGCTTCAGGATGTGCTCACACGCTTTGCAGAAGTCTTTTTAGCTCAGGACAGGTTTATGTGACCTTCCACCTGCGAGGATGCTCCTGCCACTGTGGCCAACTCTGTGCTTTTCCTCTTGATTTTTCCAGCAAGCTTGTCCAAAATTAGGACAACACTCAAAGCTGATCCCTGGAGCAAATAATTTTTATTTTGTCAAGCTGTCAGCATTTTGTTACCATTATCAAGATGATAAGAGAGGGCAGTAGATATTTTTTCCACGTGCGCAAAATTGCAGATTTCCACGAGATTTCTGGAAGGCTGAATGAGCACAAACATATTTCCACAATTAAATGTGTCATATGCAGCAGAGCTAATGCCAGGCCAGGATGCTGACACTGTCAACACGGCATTTGTGGAACAGACTCACCGCTCACACGGCATTAGTGCCGTCAAAGGATTACAGAAATGTGTGACTTCAAACTAGTCTACTTCATAAATCATTTAATATGAATTTCACAAAATCCCTCATCAAAATGACATCGTATGTGATGTAACGTAAAACCAACCTAGCTGACGAAGAGCATTAAAATGTCTCTCTTCACGATTACTGGTGCTCCTACCTGTTGCGTGGCCATCCAAAACTTGTGTTGGAGCAACTCCAGCTTAATTTGCACACCCACCGCTATGGGAAACAAAAAGGGGGGAGGATGAAAAGAGGAATGTGCAAGAGAGAGAAAGACAAACACGGGTTAGGAAAGGAGGAGTAAATATTCGCCAGAAGTGATGGAATGGAAATCACTATTGCAACCTGCTTCTGAGTGAGAATGGTAAGTATTGGGGGATCAACACTGAGTCAGACTGCCAAGTGAGAGTCAGAGGTTTAACAAGGTAGAGGAAAAGGGGACACTGACTGTACTGAGGTACTGACACCTCCCTCCCACTAAACACTACAGAGCTACAAACAAATTAAAAACAACAACAACAACAACAAAAAATCCCACAAAAAAAAAAAAACCAAAAACAGGAGAGCAAGCGTGTGAGCTTTCACCTTTGTCTTTTGTAGATTTGCCTGGCCAGAGTGGATGTTTCTGATCACCCCAGCCTCAACTCCTGCACTACACAGTATCAATCAGAAATAAAGTAGGCCAGTGTGAGGAAGGGATTCATTCAAAAACCCACCCATCTCAAGGGGAGACCACAGCAATTCACACTGCTCCTAAGCCACTACAAAAGCACAAAAATATGAATGCCACTTGACAGAAAAGTGTCGATTAGAAGTAGTGCTTCAGTACCTGGTCCCAGCCTAGTGCACGCTGGGCTAAGCAAAAGTGTGTGTTTCTTAATGAAGTGCGTCCTATTTTCTTGGCTTAATTTCTCTTCTATTCCCAGAATCATGTTCCTGAAGTAAGGCACAGCGCCACAGGAGAAGAAATGGTGCAGGGTCTCCCCAACAGAATAACCTAGCTGTCCCCGGGTGGGTTGCCTACAAGCACACGTAATAACCAGCGCAGTCGTGCGCAGCCTGGCACGGTGACGGGGAACAACGGGGCTGTGTGACAACTAGTTGAATCCGAGAGCTCTGCAGGAATTACAGCCTCAAGCAGGACCTTGAAATAGAATATAAAGTGCAAGTGAGGGAGAAAAAAGAAGTACGGCGAGGGAGAATTTGAGCCTTTTTTCACAACCACCAATATCAGGAGGATGAAGTGTTGCTGTTTCTACAGATTTCCTCTGAATTAGCAGGAGCTTCAAAGGGGGGAACAGATCCTTTAAATCTGAATCATGCCGTGTGGGTGCTTTTAAGTTAACAGTATGATCTGATGCTCTAATTTAGATGGGTATGAATTAAAACTGGAGTATGCAATGGTATATTTTCTTGCAGCATGTACAGAGACCCTGGCACCTGGCATCAGATCTGCCTTTTATACCAGTGTCCTTGTCACATTCCCACTGCTGGTACATCTTACAAAATCCCCTTCACAGGTGCATTTCTTATCCAGCTCCCCCTGCTGTAGACTGAGTCTGACTGCCTGTATATGGAGGAAAGGAATGATTTTGCAGATCTGTCTTGCCCTAAGCCTTGCAGATCACAAACGAGACAAGACAAAGAACGCAAACAAAGGAGGAAGGACAGGGCTGAGTCCAGCCAGGGTGAAGACTCATCAGCTCCGGCGGGGCTATGGCAGGCATGGTTTGGCTTGGTGCCCCTGCTGACAAATCGGCAGTCTATGACAGAAGGCAAACGGTGCTGTTGCTGCTGAGTCCGATGAGGCCCACGCATCCGATTTGGTATGTAGCTTTAAATAAATTCATCGTTATCCTTTAAAACCATCTCAAGGAAGAGTTATTCCCCTTATCACAGTCGATCACATCAACAGGGCTGAGCATTACCCAGAACATATAGTTTTTATGAGATCTGAAGAGGAGTTGATACCTGCATAACTAACCTTGCAATGCACACTTACTCAATGGCTCATGTTTTTGCCAGTGGGAACATCTAGTCTCAAATTGTTCTTCAAAGGGAGCTTAGCTCCTTTTTGTGAATCCTTGCCTCTGCCCAGGAGGCATGAGTAGCACATACCAAACTTGGACAGAGTTGCCTGCAATGTGAGGAAGGAGAGTATGTGGGGGCTCACACTGGTGGCCGGTAGTAGGGTCAGAAAGCAGAGTCTCTCAGCTCTCTTCTTCCTCTTTCCACATCACTCACTGCCATGTCTAACCTGTCTGTGCCATCTGTCAGCAAGCCTTGGCCTTTGGATGCAAACTTCGCAGTCCTAACCTCTCTGTATGGCTTATGTTTACTCGTCTTCTCCGCACTATCCCTTTCTTTCCTTCCCCAGGGGTCCAGCACACATTTTTAACTGTTGCCCACGGAGCTGAGGTGGGCACCACTCTCCTCCTCACACCCTGGCAATGTCTGAAAAGGTCACTGAAGGCAAAGCTGGGGGCTATTCTGCCTGGCAGCCAGGTTTGTCTGTCTGGATGGTACCCACCACAGGGAGCCATACCAGAGGGATTGCTCCACGCTCCTGCCTGGCAGCACCACTCCGCACCCGTCAGAGTGGATTGGCAGGTCCCAGCAAGAGCTGTGAGAAATTTCCATGCATTCAGGTGGCCTGAGGAAGACATGGGAGCCGAGGAGGAACAAGTCACAGTCACCTTCCCAGTGCTAGTAACCAAGTCACCCGGGTGCCTTTAGGTTTGCTGCTGAGGCCAAGGAAAAAGGAGGAAAGTGGTGATTCAGTCTGAGGTAAGGATGATGCTACAGCTCAGGCGAGAGGGAGAAAACTGGAATAAACCCCTCTCTGCTTGTTCCAAAGTATAAATGATCATTAATGAGCCTTTTTGCTCTGGTGGCAGAGAGTATGCTGCAGGAGCGGGAAAATCTGAGGTCCGTGAAATGGTGAGTGACCCTGGCGTGCAGCACAGCAACAACCGTAGAGTCCTCGGAGAGACCGTGGATAATAGTTTTATTCCTACTAATTTGCAGACAGCCTGTGCAACGGTAGCATCCCAGCAATGCAATAAAACACGAGGACAAGCAATGTTGCACACCTTGCATAGTTTAGACATCGCTTCACCACGCCGACAAGCTACCCAGCGCTGTGCACGACGTCCCACCAGCAGGCACCAGCAAAGCCAAGCAGTGCCCGCTGCGGCTGGATTTCGCTGGAGTCGCGTGCTGCCATCCACTGTGGAGGTGAGAGCCTCCCCCTCCACCTGTCCATCCCTCTGTTGAGCACATCTGCCCCATTAGCTCATCCTCTGCTCGTCTCTCTGTCTGTCTGCCTCCCCTGGCTTCTCTCTTTGATTGTCTATATGCTGTTCTCATAAGGAGCTTTCCCCAAGGTTTAATTCTTGGGCCTGCCACATGACAAAAAGGTATAACAAAGAGTTGCAAGATTACATCCTGTAGAGTGCTTATCAAGATTTACCTTGCCATTCACAACCTGTTTTCATGGCAGCTGGGCCAATGGTTAAATAAAACCCGTGATTCAAATGGAAGAAGGTGCCAGAGCGCCAGAGCAGCAGAGCACCCCTGCCCATACTGTCCATTTGCATTCCCCATTCCCTATTTCTGAAATATTCCTGTTTTCCCACTCAAGTCAGCAGTGGAGCTGGCCCACTCAAAATTTTACTTAGAACAAACAAAAAGCCGGTATCAAGGGCAGCCTGCTTATGATACTGGATCAGCAAAAGAGTAATTCTTGCAAACGTGACCTACCGAGGTCCTCAGCAAGCTGGAGGAAGGCAAGCGAGGGGTCTGATTTTGGCAGGGGCAGGCTGCAGGAGCCCTCAGGAGAGCACAGAGGGAAGCCTGACAGAGGCAGTGGGCTGGATTTGGGGGCTTACTGCACCCCTGTACCAGCAGGCTGTGTTGGGGAGGGGGTGCCCCTGTCACTGCGTGGATGTAACCTGGATGTAACGGCACCCAACGCTTGCGCTGGACATTCAGCTGAGCACACTCTCGCCGCTGCACACCAAATGCAGCGGAGCAAACTGTGGGTGCAAACACTCTTCTCTTTTGCCCATTCCCCTTGTCCCAACTACCCCCTACCAGCACTCCTCAGGTTTTCCCTGAATCCCCAAGGAAACAGACACTGGGACGTGCTGCATCCAAGCAGGGAAGCGCTACAGCAGCCCGCGTGCTCAGCTGCTGGGGACGCCCGCTGCGGCCAGGCAGGATGCGACCAGCCCGCCGTGGGCACCTCTTGGTTAAGTCTCTCCGTCGGATGCACTGCCTCCCCCCGACACCCCTGGAGCACTGGTGGGAAGGGGGTTCCTTGCTCCTAAGCCCCACGCTTTCTCCTCCGCTGCCTCCCCTTCGCTGCAGCCGCTCGCCTCACCCCTATACAAAACCCAGGGCTCGTCCCTTTTCCTTGCGCCTTTCTCTCCAGGTTTATTGTCATCAGCTACACCAGGCAGCGGAGAGACGGAGGGAGGGGAGGAGGCGTTCAGCTCGGTGCCTCCTCTCATAACCTGTGCCTGGCCAATCTGCCGCCTGAGGGGCTGTGGGGAGCTCCCCCCACCCCGGCATCTCCTCACCCCTCCTCGAGCCCCTCAGCTCCCGGCACCCGGAGAGGGATGGCGGCAAGGGGGGGAGGAGGGAGAGAGTGGGACTAACAGCAACTGCTCTTTCTCCGGGATGGGTTGAGAGAAATTAAAACCTCCCGAGCTCCTTCCTCTGGGTGTTTCGGAGCAGATCCTGCCTGCCTGGCGGGGTGACTCCTCTGCACTGTCTGTGCGCGCTCCTGTGCGTGTGCTGCTGCCGTCGCAGATGTACCCCCAGCTGTCACTTTGCCGCGCACAGTCGCTCCCTCTCTCGCCTCTCTCTCTCTTTCCCTCTCCCCCCATTAATTATTTACGGAGGATTACAGTCCCTTTCCCACGCTGCCATCTCGCCGTGCGGCTCCTCTGCCCTCCCTCCGCGCAGGGCGAGCGGCTGTCTAGGAGGGTCTCCTGCCAGCTAGGGTCCACCAAGAGCCCAGCCGGCTACGGAGGGACTTTCTGCTGGATTTGCTTTGGGATTGTACCAGGTTTGCTGGAAGAGCTGCCGTTCTCATAGGAGGGTCCAGCCCAGCCCAAGAGAGGTAAGTAAAGACGTCTCTCTTTTGTATTTACTCCCTCTCCTCTCCCCGGCTATGCGAGATCAGAGGAGCTGCCCCCCAGGAACCGGCTTCCCCGGGGAGGAGAGTGGTGGTCAGGGGCAGCACCGCCTGCCAGACGGCACGGTGCACAAGTCCCGGTTGTGTGAGGCTGACGGGCAGCAGTCTTCCCGATAAAGCAGAAGGATAAACCTGCCGCAGAGGCTGCTGGTACTGGTTCCAGTCCAGTTTCAGGGCGAGCAGCTGGGAGCAACTTCTCCCAGCTGCGAATGGCACCAGTGTCTTTCGCTGCAGCACGGGCAGCTCAGGTGCAGCTTTGAGGCTAAGCGCTTGGGGCTGTGGTGACCGGGTACTGGGCAGCTCCCAGTGACCCTCAGCTTTTGTCCCCTCCTCTGGGTTGGGAGAGGGGCCAGCATGTGAGGTGCCACTCACCTGACCCCCGGTGGCTCTGCTGGGTATCATTTTGGTCTCAGCTGTCTTAGTAAGAACAATCTAAAATGGAGAAGTGAGGACCAAAATTGAACAGGTCCAGCACTCAATACACAGCTTTAGGGTGAGGGGGGTGTATATCATGTAAGTGTGTGTGTGCATGTACAATTTCACACACAAAGCTCACGGACACAACCACAGGACATGAAGTGAAGGATGCCGTGTCACAAGTAGAACCAAAAATAAGTCCCAAGTTGTTTCCAGCGGATGCAGGCTGAGCCTGCAATTTATGAACTTTTGGGCGGAAGGCACGGCACCGAGGGTGGAGGTGAAACAGGGCAGAGAGAAACTTCACAGCTTTTTCCAGCCCTACCTGAGAGGAAAGGGGGGAGGATGAAGTCCTAAATGAGCTGATGTGAAGTCCCTTATATATGGGCTATATATATAAGGGTTATATCGGCTATATATGTAAGCATTAGCATGTGTGTATGTGTGTGTGCATATATACATGTGTGCATATACACACATGCACAGACACGTGCACACATACATCCCACGCAGGGCATTCTGCCGCCGCCTTCTCCCTCTGCCTGCCCGGTTTATTACTGCCACTGCATCTCATAATTAAGAGAGACGTGTAAAATCAGAGCTCTCCTGGTTTGGGGAGAGAGGATGTTTGGAGCTGTTGCTCCAACCAGGTCATGACCGAGCCGGGCCCCAGGCCCGCCGTGTGGACTGTCAGGCAGCCAGAATGTGCCACGTCCAGCGCATCCCCGATGGCAACGGTAGCGTGTGGGGTACAGCACCGCTGTGCTGCCAGTGCCTGGTCTGCCACTCAGGGGTGGAGGGAGAAATGAAGATCTCATTTGGGGAAGGGCTGGAGCAGCTCCTATTGCAGGGTTTAAAGAAGGAAACCCTTAAAAGACAGGGGGACCCTTAAAGGCACACAGGGACTTGTCACAAAGGAGGGGACATTTCTAGCAGTGAGGAGGAGGGGTTGCCTTTCCAGAATTGCAGACCGTTTTTCTTCTGAGCTTTGTTGCTTGGGTCTGTGGAGGGGCGGGGGGTGGATCTTCCTCCAACTGCTGTGGGCAAACAATATTTGCAAGGGAATTATTCCACATGAGCGAAAGGCTTGCGGGAGTTGTCTCCCTGTCAGACATCAGTGCAGTCCCTGTTAGCATATTTTGCTCACTTGGAGGAATTATGGCAAATCCTGAGCAAAGGGGCTGTTTGCAAAGAGAAAGGGGGGAATCCCTCTTACATAATTCTTATACCAGATCATAGCTTTACCCTTGCCTCCAGCAAAGTGAAAGCCACATGCTAGCAAGGTGCACTCCCAGCTTGGATATCTTCCTGAGCTATTCCAGCTTCATGCCCTTCCTCTGGCTCTTCTAAGAATGATGCAGGAAGGATTTTCTAGGCTCTTTAACACCACAGAAGCCTGATGAAGGCAGACCTGCATCTCGGTGCAGCAGGGAGGGCCAGCAGCAGCACAGGGCCATGAGGATACCTGGACAAGAGCATCCAGGGAGCAGCAGAAGCTGGAACAGGATGGAGACAGGCTCAAGGCTGTAGGAGGGCATTTCTGGGCAGTTCTTTGGTGACTCTTCAGCACTTGCCTGGTGCTGATTTGAAAAAGAGACCAGGCAGTTTCCTTTACTTGCCATGTTTGGTTACAAGCTGCTTCTTACACCGCTTGACATCTGTCCCAGTCCTGGGTGGCTCAAGCCGTAATTCAAATGACCATACTGGGATGCTCCTGCCAGCTGGGTAATGCTCCAGGGTGTTACACCATGACACACACTCCAGTTCTCTGTGAGAAGGAGCTGGAGTCGGAGTCCTGGGTTGTCTCTGTCCCTACTGCATGAAAATACCTTGTAACACATACCTTATTCCTTACATGGCGTTACCAAAATGCTGGCTCACAAAATTGCTTTCTGTGGCTGAGGATATCCTAATTGCAAGAAGTATTTTTTTCCATGAACCGGTTCAATTCCAGACTGCAAAGGGTGGGATTATATGAAATACAGTTTTATTCACATTACAAAAACAAGCAGTTGAAAGTTAGGAAATGTTGGGATTGGGAGCAGCATGCCATCTGCACCGGGTTGCAGTCCTGGCTGGTAGGATCACATGCTGTATTTTCATAAGCTGCCTCATTCAGTGCACCAGCTACACAGTGCTCAGGGAGTGAAGCAGTAGGCTGTTATTTTCTTTTTTTTGGTACTGCAAAGTGTGTGCCCATTTTACTTGTTTACTGCCTGCCATCCAAGCCCTGCAGGCAATACATCATTATTCATTGTCTTGTGGTGTTCTGAAGACGTTCGCTGCTACAGTTGCCTCGTAGCTGATGATAGACAATTTATGCTCCTGATGAGGCAAGAGACAGTGGGTATACTCCTTGATTTTGAAGGCAAAAGAGACTTTCCTTTTAGCCACACAGGGAAGGAGCAGCTGGTGCAGGACTGGAGCTTGGGGTCTCTTGGCTCTTGGTGCCATCGAGTCCTCGAGACTGTACCAGTTTGCTGGCTAAGGTGCCAGCATTTTGGAAAACAGCTGTGAGTGCTCAGCAGTTCAGCAAAATGGCCCCTAGGGTCTTGTGTTGGGTACCGGCAAAATTAGGAATGTACAGACTGTGGCCACCTGTCAAAACTTTGGTTTAATATTTAATGCTGACCATATAAAAATAGCCTTATTTATTACAACATCCTCATTGTTAGCTTGAGTATCATGTGTTCTTTGCACTGAGTATGGGACAGGGTCCTGTGAAAAAAAAGAAACTGTACTTGCTCGGGTAAGCAAAGGCTGTGTTGTAATGCATACATGCAAGTGACTGAATTAAGGTTGTGGAGGTACTGACTCACATTTAAGAGCTTGGCTTTGCAAGCCAAATGGCATATTTTATCATATAGCAATTTTTTTAAAAAAATAAAATGACACTTTCTTGATTTTTTTTTTTTTTTTATGAATGGGAAAACAAGAGACTTTCCATTATTTATAGACTGCAACTCCTCACAGTTATCACAGGAAGGACTGAGTCCTAAATTTACAGCAGGGCCATGCAAGTCTGAACTTCACGACTGACTGCAAGCAAAGGTTGTTACTTTGAAGACAGGCCCTGCTGCCATGCTCCTCGTCACTCCAAGAAGTCTGGGAAGCTGGGAAGCTTCCTTCCCCATGGACCACGGCCTCACACAAGGAATAAAGAATCAGGACCACATCCTGAATCTGGAGAGGAGCTGTTAGAGGCAACTTGACTTAGCACTCATTACTTGGGCTCTCTTTCTACACTTAGTGAGGCTTTCTGCTGCTGGTGCTCCCCAAAGCAGGGTGTACTGCTGCTGCGATTTTGCTGTGAGGTGTCTTGTGTGGGGGCAGAGGAGCTGAAGCTGGGCTGGGCTTTCCACACTACTTGCATTTAGTGATTTTGATGGGATGTGAACGTTGCCATGGCCATATCTCTTCTGTGTCAGCAAACCCTCCAGAAAACTGAAGTCACATCAGATTTGCAGACCTTTCCCAGTCTCTCCCAGCCTCAGCAAGCTCTGCAGCATGGGGCTGTGATGTGTGTGCTAACTCAGATGCATCCAAGGATCCTGGCTGGAGCTCTGGGTTGTGAGAGCTGTCATCACATCTTGTTGAGCTATGGGCAATGTTCCCAGCTTGTAAAGAGTGTAAGCGTGTCCCAGAGATCCTCAGTGCAGTTTGTGTGGACTTTGTGGGGATGCCCCTCTTGGATGCTCTGGGAAGGTGATGGGGGGCGAGGGGGAAGAAGAGCTCCAGGCTCTCTCTAACAGGTAGCACTGCTGACCTTGCGCCACAGTGGCAACCAAGTGAAACAGATCTATGCAACTCACTAAGGCAGAAAAAGGCTTTCTTCAGAGCTCAGTATAAATGCATCATGTGCAAACGATGAGAGTCAGCCTTTTCTTGGGAGGTTTGCCAGGAGCTGTGTGCGTGCTGGGTCACCGATCCCCTTATGATAAGAGCAGAGAGGATTTTTACTGCTAGCATCTTGTGCTTTGCCCCAGTGCTGCGCGTGCACGGATGATCCCTGCCCCTGTGAACACACCCGGTGCACAGACTTGTGAAGTGAGATGGTAGTGAAGTTCTTCCCCTGTCCCACTGTGTTTTCTACCTCCTCTTCCCCCTCCAACTGTCAAAATGGAAGTCGCTACCCTTGTAGCCAGTGGTCTGAGTCAGAGAGGCCGGCAGCTGGGGAAGGGAAGCCGGGGTGCTGGGTGAGGGAGAGGGGGAGGGACTCTCTCACTCAGCCGCTCAGGTGGCAGCAGGTCTCCATCACATTGGCTTCTCCACCAGAAGCAAAAGTAACAAGAGTAAAGCACTAGGAAGGCTAGTGATCTTGGGATCCTGGCATATTTCAGACTACAGACTATGAAAACAGGCAGAGCCAGTTCTTGAGCTAATGCAGACAAGAATGATAGTGAACAAGCAGGTGTGGGACATGTTGTGTGCTCAGGGTCACCCAGGCTTGCAGAAGCTCGCCTGACTCTAGAAATGAGGAAGCACGAGGAGAAAGGCTTATGGCTGAGGTGCCTTGACCCCCATATGATATAACAGGAGTTTCTTGGTATTGATTTGGAAACCCCTTGATTTGGCAGTCTGGCTGTACTGTTCGATAGATGTTTAGCCTAGCACTCCAGGATCAGAACTGTGAACTGAGAGCTTATATTGATAAATCAACTTTAAATAAATAAAATTTTTCTGTCTCACTGCTAAATTGTTGCACCTCCATTTACTACTCGGTGCATGTAAATGTATCTCTCCTCTCAGACAGGCTGGCACCTTTCCTCTTACGGATCTGCTGCATCCTTTGCCCCTAATAAGAGCCCCAGGGAAGGTACTGGGTCATCTCAAAATTTCTGAGCCCCCAGAGAATCCTTTACAAATGTAGGCCCATACATACCCTCCTTCTTGAACACCACCCGCATAAAAACACAAAAGAGATTACTTCAGGATCCGAATCACCATCCAACTAAGAAGTGCGGAAAATACCTGTATGTGGGGTGGGGAGTGGAATGAGGATCACAGAACCAGGATTCTCCCACCAAGCTTCCTTCTCTGCCTGGAGCCTCTCCCTCGGGTGTACCACCCACCCACACCCCCGAGGTAGGCTTGGCAGGAAGGCGGGGAGCAGCATTTTAAATGCCAGTGAGCTGATGGGTGCTCGTGGGGTGTAAAGGAGGAACTGGGAGCAGAAGGGTGCCTCCCTCAGACCTGCTGGGTCAGGAGCGGCCACAGTCCTTCTGTCAAGGGACTGCCTGCAAGGATTGAGGGCCTGAGCTACTACTGACCATGGGATTAACTCCTGCAGGAAATTAAAGTTGTAGAGAAGGCTCTTCACTCCACAGCTGAGAGAAAAACTGGGATCTGGATTAGAATTGGCAGGGCTGGTGACAAGCCACCACCCACAGCCAACTGTTCCCGGCTGGATCAGAAAATGTTATCTCAGTCTTCATGTAGAACCCCCCTCCACATCTCACTCAGTTACCAATTTTTGCCAACAGTGTGAGAAGAACAAAAACATCACTCTGTGGCAAGAAAAAGAGAAGGAAACTGGGTAGCCAGCTCACGTGTCCCTCCTCTGAGCTCCTCTCCCACTCCCTCACCCGTTTCCCTTCTCAGCTGCCTCCGTTTTGCATGGAGGAAACATGCACGTGGTCTGTCGCATTCAATAATACTCAGAGAAGATGCTGGCACACACATGGCTGGATTTCTTCCTGTCAACTGCCCCCTCAGCTCTCCTCCTGCTGCTGCTATGGGCCTCCTCCATATGCCGCACTCTCGCTGTGCTGGGACTTTCCTGTCACTCCCGTGTTGGATATCCCGGTCTCCCCACCTGCTTCCACAGCTTCCCAAGGAATCCCACTTCTCCATGGCAATCTGGGTCTTTCCCACCAGTGCTATCTGCCCTGGGTCCCCTTCGGATGCTCTGTGCTTTCTCAGATGGTTTGATGGGGCCCGCTGCCCTTGGTATTTCCAGCCCCTCCAACATCTCCCAGTCTCAGTACCGTGCATCGGTCAGGGAGGCTTAGGATGCAAATAATGTTTCCTGGTTAAGGTACAGGAGAGGAGGAATCGAGAAAAATGGTTTCTCTCCTGATTTTGCCACAGGCCCATCAGGAAACTTTAGGAAAGCCCCACCAAAACTCCTTTATTCTGTGTAACTTTGATAAACCCTACAAATCATCTTTGCAGGACAGGAGAACATTTACAAGAGCACATGATCCAGTGCAAGCACTGCACTTGGCAGCGTTGAAAATCTTGAGCAGAGAACTGATGTGGGCTCACGATGAGGTATCAATAGCTGGGCAGCTGAAATTTCAGCCAGCCAAACTCAGCAGTCATTTTTACCTCTATCATAGTTTACCCCTCCGTAAAATGGGAATAAAGTAGATTTTTTTTGGAGGGGCTTAGGGAGGAAACATTTTTAAACACCAATCACATTTACATTTCAGAGGTGCCTACACACTGTTGTTCCGAACATAAGAAGCTTTTTGACCTCTTCACATCCCAGAGAATAGGGTGAGGTTTTTATTCACACAAAGTCAGGAATGTGTCAGAGTCCCTTACCGTACTGAGTGGGTTTTGCACACTTTCTACTTACTTTACAGCTTTCTGTATGAGGTGTTTTGCTTAGCTGTGATCGATCACTGCAAGTCAGATGGCACCATTTCTTCTGCAGCTGGGTTTCTAGTGTGAATTAAAAATGTGCTTCCCATTGATTGTGACATCACAGCACTAATGAATCCTGAACACATGTGTTAATAAATCAGCAAGTACTGGAAATGAAGCCCCGAGCTATTTAGATTGGAAGCTCACTGGGGCAGCGACACACACTCTGTGTTTCTACAGTGCTGCTGAGCGTGGCTGCCACCTCTGGGTGCTTTTGCAGTCCAAATAAACAAGAAATAAGGAGCTGCTGCTGAGACAAGATGACCTCTTGTGGTCAGTAATTTGCTAGACTGACCCAGGTCTGTGGGGGACCAAGAATGAGCATCATCTTCATGACATCTAAACCCACTTGTGGTACTGTCAGGAGCGTGATTCCCCACTAGCACTCATCAGTCAGGTTACTTCATGAACTTTCAGTTCCTGTAATCAGGGCTGCTGTGTCTCTCTGCCCTCTGTGTACCAACTCTTCTCCCTCAAGGGCTGATGAAGGAACAAACATGCTTCAGTCACTGGACTCTGGGGTACCACTGTCCCCTTACATTATGGGTGACAGTAATAAACAAGAATCCTAAAAGCAACAAGGAAAGACGAGGAAAAAAAGATAATCTCCTTAAAGTGTCCTCCATGCCCTCCCTCACCCTGATGTTTTTCTGATAAAGGCTAAAGCAATTCAACATTGGAAAGGGGGAAGGGACTTTGCCATCACTTGTCAAACAGAGTGTGGGGGAGGGATGAATGTCTGCGTGTACTTCCTGATAATTTATTGCTGGCATCTGTTGTAGCCTCTGTTACCTACCCTTTTGTAATATAGGTCACCCACATGCCCTGCCAATGCTCATAAGCCAGGCTGTTAATGGAGTTTGATCCCTGAGCCATGATTCAAGAGTTAGTGCAAAGGACTAGGAGAGATAATCAGACAGAGGTTGCTGGGCTCTGTTTCTGACTAAGACTCATCCTAGTGACACAGTCACCTGTCTCTTTAGCCTCAGTGTCCTCGTCTGGAAAATGGGATAGCTTTATCCACCTACCTAGAGCAGAGGCACTACTGGCTACGATCTCAGCCTTACTTCTGCAGGTCATTAAATACAAAATAACAACAACAACACCTACAACCCCGGTAACAGCCATTTGTAAAGCAGATGGAAAGCTTTGGATAGAAGGTGTCACAGAATTGGGAAGTGTTAGTAAAACAGTATGTGGATGCAGTAAACTGAAACCCTCCCCACCCTCACAGTGTGCTCCTTGGGACCTGACTTATGAAAGCTAAGGCTTTAGAGTGATACTGCAAACATCACTGGTGTCTGGGCAGGAAGAAGGAAAGTACAAGACAGTGACAGTGCCTGCTGTAGCTTTGTGCCCTGGCAAGTGCGGCAGAGTCATTACAAACTCCTCAGCATCCCCCCAAAGCAGTAAAGTACCCTGTTCAAGCTAATTAGGGGAATCCTCATTAGAAAGTCCTCTAGAGTCTGACAGCAGGCCAAATGTCCAAGTGGCACTTCAGCTCAGTGTATTTTTGGCCACTGGAGCCCATGGGCCAGAAATGGATGATTTCATTCTGTTGCTTTGAGCTGAAACTAAAAAAGTTGTCTTTTCCTGTCCTATATCAAACGGCAAGAAGAAAAGGCCATCACCAGCCCCACAGGCTTCCCTGTTAATTCTTCCAGAATCTGGAAAAGAAATTCAACTCCCAGCACGTGGAAGAAAGCTCTGGACACTGTGTCCCATGGGTCACAGGGCGTTTGTCTGACATGCTGCTCCAGGGAGAAGGAACCAGCTAGTAAGCCTAAAATAAAGACGGACGCCTGGTTTGTGGAGCCCTTGGGTGACTTCAGAACATTCCAAGTTCCAGCAATGCAGATCAGCCTTGAGCCCCCAAACTCAGGCCGTGCTACCCTAGTTCTCAACGGATGGCATGACGCCTCTCCGCTTGGGCTGGGGATGTATGGGGGGGCACTCCTACGTCTGGCAGAGTCCTTGCTGCTGGAGAAGTCCCCGGCTGCCAGGCTGAAAGCAGCCAGACAGATACGGTGGTGCTCTGGAGAGCCTTGAGGTGTGGGCAGGTGCTAGTTGCCCCAGGACTACAGGGTTCCCAGTGCTGCGCCGGCAGTGAGTGCAGCTGGCCTGGTGCTCTGCAGAGCAGAAGGCATCTCTTGGGCCACAGTAAAACAGCTAATTAAGTCAGAATTCAAGACAAGTCAGAGAAAACCTTTAAAAAAGAAACTCAAAAATCCTCTTTGCCTCCTTGCTCTCTCCTGGCTGCAGAATATTAATCACTAAGGGTCTAATGCGCTTATGGGCAATAGATGTGTGGGACAAACTGGGCTTTTCTGGATCCTTGGAATTAAAATTTCTCCATCAACATACTACTTCAAGGTGTAAGTGCAGAAGCTCATTGCCCATTGCACTTCAGCAGTCAGGAACCTCTACCTATTCCAAATTTACCGCTCTGCCACCTGAGCATATGTTATGATTGGAGAAGCAGGCAGTTTTGCGCCAGACATGGATGTTGATAAGTACGGGTCACAGAAGAGACCCTGGTACATGTGCAAGCCCAACTCTGTGCACACTTTTGTAAATGTAAGCTAGACTGGTGACTGTATCTGCATACGTCCATGAAGATAGCTGTTTTTAAGTCTTAGAAACATGTGTATGAGTGCACAAAGGGTGTCTGCTATCTATGGGGCGGGGAGTGTTGTGTTTATGTGACATGTTTTTAAAATAATCTTGGGTTTATCAGGGCGCCTCCATCTTTGTGCATGTTGCAGCGCAGGAGACAGCGTTAAAGCCTGAACAGGTGTTAATCTCTATGCACTGTAATAAATTCTAAACATAGGGAAAGGGCTTATTTATACACGGCTGCTCCTCCCACCCTGCACTCTGTGCTTGAGCCTTGGCTCTGCCTGAGAGAAAGAGGCGCCCATGAGGTACCAGAAACGAGTGCAAGAGCTGGACTTGCACTGCCAGAGCAGAAGGAGCTTAGGGGTAGAAACCCTGACCCCGTCACCGTCCTTGCACCTGGGTATGCCAGCCCTGCGCTCGGTCCCCCACCGTTGCCTGGGGATGGTGGGGCTGCACTGCACAGAGCAGCGAGCAGGGTGGGGGAGACACCAGCCCGTGGCCTGAGTGGGGGCCTGGGCACAGGGGACACTGCAGAGGGAAGTCGTGTCATGAAGCACCCATGGAAGCTGTTTTGTTGTGTGTTTTTGTTTTTTGTTTTTTTTTTTTTTTAAAAAAAAAGCTTAGCCCCCCTGATTGGAGCCGAGCCAGCTGATACAGATGGGGTGTTACAAAACAGAGCCAAAAGGCAAGAGCACAAGGAACAGAGCTATCTATAACGCTGACAAAGTTAGATGGAGTGAAGGTGGGGAAGAGGGAAAGACGGAGCGTGGCAGGCAGCCCCTGATGCCGAGAGCAAGGACGTGATCGTTCAGCACCGGGATTTGGAGCTGATCGACTCCCGCTATCCAGCAGGCAGATAAGGCTCTGTGGCTGTCAGCTTAACTCTGCCGTTTATTCCTGTGCTGTAGGGAGTTAAATAGAGCACACGGAAAGCCTGCTGCTGGGGAGTGAAAGTCAAGGAGGGAGAGGGAAGGAAGAGGCTGTAACTGGGCAGTGCCCGGGGAGTCGGGTGGAAGTGGCTGCGGGCAGAGCCCCTCCAGGTAAGTGCTTGTGGCTTTTCATCCTCCTTGTGGATATCAACAGCCAGGGACGGGAGACTTCAGGGGTGGCATTTAGGACGGAGACATTGATATGGGGGAGGCTGAAAGTCTCCTTCTCAGCCAGGGTGAATGCAAGCACCAAATGGGGACAGCTATTTGTTGCAGCTTCTCCTTCTGTGGGGACTGCAGGGAAAGGGCTCCAGCTTGGTTTGGAGAGTGGGGGGCTGCAGTGGGTGAATGTTGGATTGGTTTCGGTGCTGTGAAAGGTATTAATCTATTTGGTGCATTGGCATTTGGGGAAATGATCTAAATAGTCTTGCAAAATGTACTAGTGCAGGCACTGAACCTGCTCATCTTTCTCATCAGGATGCTAATTTAAATATTTCCTGGTGGTTTACATTCCAATATAAAATAAATCAGCCATGGGAGCCTGGGGGAGGGGAAGCAGCTGGCACGTGTGTGGGGAGAGTGTCCCGGTGGGAGTGCAGCGCCCAGCTAAAATAACGGCTGTGGATGTTGTCAGAGCCCCTCAGAGGGGATGGAGGATGGTTTATTTCTGTACACTGGTTGAAATGTGTCCATCTAACTGCTCCCGAGACTGTGGGTGGCACGTCAGAGAGCAAGCATGGGGACAGGAGGGTCTGTGGTGTTTCCCCTTTTCCTGCTTGCTTGTATCCAAAAGGGAAGAAAGAGGGAAGTTGGAACCTGTTGTCAGTCCCTTATTGTCAGGGGAGAGTTTATGGTCTTTGGGTTTCTAATTAGACTGAGCATTTTTCCTTCTTCTAATTAAGATGTAATTTCTCTCTTTTCAACACTCCCACTCAGTCTCCCCCGCCCCAGGTCCTCCCTTCTCCTCCGAGGCTCACTCGCTCTTCAGCTCCTGCAGTTGCTGCAGTGTGAAATCCCCAAGCTGAAGCTGTGCTCTGCTCAGCCCTGCTCTAGCCACCACATCCATTTTACCTTAAAACAGAAAGGAAGTGCTGGTAGAGAACACAGGGGGAGCAGAAGCGGCTTGGCAGCCGCTGGCACCCAGACCTCAGTGAGCCTGAGCCGTGCGTCAGGGAGAGGATGCACAGGTGGTACCAGCCTGCATGAAGGCAGGAGGGAATGAGCTGGAGCCTGCTACCCTGGCAGGGTCACCTCAGCAATTCATCAGGTTAACCTTGAGCGTGAGGCTAATGTAGCTACCGTAGCAGGCTAGTCAAGCACAGGCTTGTCTCCGGCGCTTAGGTGAATCAGGACTTATTTCTGCGCTGCAAGGTTCAAAGTGAATTAACATTGCACCTTTGTCATGCCATGCCTCCTGAAACATCCTCCATCTCTCCTCCAAAGCAGACCTGATGCCTCAAAAGCAAAACTCTAGTTGGGGAGGGGAAAGGACAACACTGAGCCCGGCCCCATGTCCTGCACCCACGGAACTGATTCTCACCCGCTCCGCTCTGCTCTACCCTTCCAGCACCGGGCAAGCAGGCTACAAGGTCATTCCTCCTCCCTCTGGGGCCGTGTGCCAGGCTGGCTGGTGGATGTGAAGACACGCTGGAGAAGACAACAATGCTGCCTACAACTGCTGGCCACCGGTGGAGGAGCAGGTTCCTCATGAGCTGGCAAGAGGCTTGTCGTAAGTAATGCCTACTCAGATGCTAAGTACGATGATCCTGTTTGTCAAGGGAGTGGAAAGAAAATAGGTCACATCAGGGTTAAGAATAGGGGAGAGGGACAGCTAAGAATGGAGATGTTTGAACTAATTCCTGATGCCTTTAGAGGCCAGGCTAGCTGGGAGGGACAGCAAGACTCTAAAGCTGAAGATGGGCTTAAAGTGGGACAGTAACTGATGATTGCTTCTAAATTCCAGTGGGCCTGGCAGGTGAGAAACAGTGAGACAGATACCACCACACAAAGATCCACCCCAAACATTTCTCATGTCGGCATCCTGTAAGCTGCAGACTCCTTTCTGGGGTAGGGGTTTATACATAGGCTGCTGAGCAAGGCTCCCAGCTCTTCACAGCAGAAGTCATGACAGATTTTAGAAGGGAACGCAGGATGTGAATGCAGAATTCTCCTACTGGGCACTGCCACATGTAGTGAAAATCAAGGAGTAAATAAAGAAGATCTCTTTTAAATTAAACTGTAAAAGTTCAGCCTGTGCATCTTCCCAGTGGACCAGGGCATCTGCTACAGTATCCCTGAGTGCTGAGCAGAGACTGGTGGGGTGATGTGGGGCTACAGGGCATGTACCCGCACTTCAGAGAAGCATCTGGAGACTGCAGTAGAGGAAAGGGAGCACTTGGAGAGTGTCCATCACTACTGCATGCCCAGGCACTGAGCAGGTCTGTCATTTCCCTTGTTCCTGCCCCCCTGATCAATTTGGGGCTGCCACTGTAAGAAGATGGGGGAATTATTTCCTTCTTCAGAAAACAGGTCTCTCTGTAATCCATCCTCACAGACTAGACTGCTGTATAAATTACTTGTAATGAATGCTACTGAGTCTTGACTTAATCTGATATACCTGGATCAGCTTTCTGTCACCTGCTAGAGTCACCAAACACCCCACAAAGTAACTTATCTTCCCCTAACACAAAAACACGTACTACTCATCCTTCTCTAGGGCTGGAAAACAGCTTCAAGTTCTATCTATTGCTTCCCTGTCTCTCTTCCCCATAGAGCTGCATCCTAACCAGTGCAATGAATTTCTTGGTCTCAGCTCACATCCCAGTGGATGCACCTCTTGCAGGGACTGAAAATGAAATCAGATCTTTATCTCTCTATGATTTTAGTAAAATATTTCCAAGAGTACAAAGCAATATATGGGTAACAAGACGACATTTTTGGCACGTCTTACATGGCTGCAGAAACTTGGCATAAGTCCAGTTCCTGAACACAACCACAGCCAGCTGCCTGAGACTTTGTTCCTACCAGTCACTGCCAGCATACATACTGGTGGAACCCCACAGCCACCCAGTTGAGGCTGGTGGCAGATAGGCATTTTGAGAGATAAGTCCTGAACAGGATGCCATCTGGATACCATTACACATTGTCTGCCCTTGACTTTCTTGGTGTACAAAGCAACTAAGTGTTATCATCACAACTGTCAATCTATTATTAATACTGTACTTTTGTTAAGCATCCAGGAAAAGACGGGGTCACTTGAGTGACTCTTGGCCCTCTCCCTTCCCCACTCTAGCTCCCATTCTTTTAATTCTTTCCCTACAACAAAAGCGTGAATGGAATTAAATATCGGACAGACAGACAGTACCTGCACTGTGCCAGTCCACAGGCTATGGTCTGCTTTCATGGCCATCTCTGCTGGTGACCCCAGCCTTTGCATGATAAGAAAGCACAGAGGTGCTCAGGGAAAAGAGCTCTCTTGTGTTTCACCATAAGGACCCATAATTATCATTAAAAGAGAACACAGATTGGCACAGCCTGGGCTGATGTACACTTGAGCTCTCAACTGTAGGACAGGAAAAGATTCTTGAAGGAATTGAGGAAGAAGGATTAAATAAAAAAAGAGTTGAGACACTCTGAACACTTATCCCTTGGTCCTTAATAAAGCCATATAGCTTAGGACCCAGATGGTGTAGTTCTCCTTAGGCCAGCAGCCCACAAATCTGCCAAGTCTCACAAGGATCACCGGGAACACAAAAAGGCCCTTTGCAGCATGACAGGGTTTGCTCATGAAGGCAGCATCGCTGACAGAAGCCAAGTCGATATAAAAAAAATGGGCTAGGGGTCAGAAACTCTAGAGAGATTAGTGCGAGGGAAGAGAGGAAGAGCACGGCTGACTGCAGAGCTGTTCCAGGCAGAGCTTCTCCAGAGCATGGGTCTCCACCAGCTCCCTCTCCTATGGCAGTCCTTTCACAATTCCTTTGGGGTTAAGAAACAAAACACTGTTTATTGGTACTTTGGAAAAAGTAACACAGAAGAATCTGGTTTCCAGTCCAGGAAAGAATGGTGAGACAATAAATGCATCCACTTTAGCTACCATTCACCCTTAAAAAGACTCTACCAACCCCAACCGACTGCTTTCTCTGAATAAAAGCGAGAAAGGGAGAGAACAGGGCATGACATACAGGCCAACCTGTCTCAGTTTTAGTCAAATGCTCAAACTTGTCACCTTAAAAAACAGCGAGGGAGCTGAATTTGCTTCCCACATTGAAGAAACCAATGTCAATTCCACAAAAGGAATGAAGATGAAGGATGCAAATGTTTTACATAGTCTGCTTAAACATAACTCCCACTCCTCTAATGACAGGAGGCACAAAGCTTGCTTTCCTGTTGCTCATGCTTCTTTGTCACAGAAATTAGAGTTTTAAAAGCCACTGGCTCCCAGGGAGGGTTGGTAACTAGTGCCTTGATGTCACTCACAGGATCTGGACCCATGTCTGGAATGGTGATCCACAACAACTCTAAAAGAATCTGTTTTGTGGATTGTCCAACCTTACCTTTGAGACACTGCAGGAGAAAGGGGGGTGTGTTAGCTAAGCATTTTCCTAACACCCCTTTCTTTAACTACCAACCTGCAATTTTTTTCCTAATCTCCACTGCTATGGGCAATCTTGGTCAGAGGAGATACTTGTGGGGCTATTGCTGTGGGATTCAGAAACAATTTTGAGAGCAATGGCAAGTACCAGGTATCCAGTGGTTTGGGGCCTCCTTGTTACTTTTTAACAGCTTTCTTGGTCATCCCTTTGTAATGTAATCTAATTCATAAAAAAGTCTCTTGCCACAAGGCCCACGTAACACACTGTGGATACGGAAAGCAAATGATACTCTGATTTAGAGGCTAACTTAGTCCTGGGCCTGATCTATCACAAAGATTAGGACTCAAACTGTGGAGCACAACTGAGATGTAGGATGTTTTGTTTTAATTTTTCTTAATGTGTTTATTTCTGAAAAAAGAGAGCTTCTTAAATATATACCTGTCTCTCCTCACTCAACCCTGACTCTTTAGAAAGAGCTGTTCTTTATCAGAGGTGATACTTCCCATCACTCTCTGCTCCATTCTCCTCTGACAGGCTCCAGCCCTCTAGTATCTGGCAGCAAAGTCCTCTGGGGTGCACTGTTCTAACTTCCTCAAGAAACTGGAAGGATATTTACATGCCTGCTCATGAAAAAAAGGCTAAGAGGAAAGTCATGCTGCCAGGGTGCAGGCCAGCATTAAAAGGATGTAGCTGTGAGGAAGCTCATTACACTGCAGGGCATTTCAGCGAAGAGTCCCGCTGTGAGGGCCATATTGCAGCTGTAGCTGTGCTCAAGGCAGCGAGGGGTGCGGATGGGAAAGCACTGCTCTAATACATGCACTCTGTCTCCCTTGCTTTTCACCTACCAGTGCTTGGCTGTTGGCTGTCGCTATGTGCTGCCGAGTCCTTCTTTGCTTGTCCTTCCTCCTGCAAGTGTAACAGTGGCAACCTGGAAGTGGACTGTAGTGGCTTGGGCCTCTCTTCCATCCCCTCAGACATCCCCACAAACACCAGGACCTTCCTCTTTCTCAACAACAAACTCAGCATCCTGCCGGGAGCAGTGTTTTCCAACCTCTCTGCCCTACAGAGGCTGGACTTATCCAACAACTTCTTGGACCAGCTCCCTCAGAACATCTTCAGTGACCTGGGGAACCTCACGGAGCTCCGGCTGAGGAACAACAGCATCCGGGCCTTGGACAAGGACCTGCTACAACACACAGCCCTGCTGCGCCAGCTGGATCTCTCCATCAACGGCCTGGCCCAGATACCCTCGGGCATCTTTGACGACCTGCCTGCTCTCCGCTCCCTCTCTCTCAGGTCCAACCGCCTGCAGAGCCTGGACAGGGTGACCTTTGAACCGCTAACCAGCCTGCAGCAGCTCCAAGTTGGGGATAACCCCTGGGAATGCGACTGCAACCTCCGAGACTTCAAGCACTGGATGGAATGGTTCTCCTACAGAGGTAGGTGCTTGCACAGCGGGAACCAAGTGCAGAACTGCTGGCCTTCCACGGAAAGGCAGACAAAGGCGGGCAGGGAAGAAACATGAGAAGATACATCTGGCAGGTCAGGCTGATCTGAATGCCAGATCTTAGCCAAGGAGCATGAGGGCTGTGCAACTATGCTAACAGTTTAGTGCCACTGCACCTTCACAGAGCAACACTACTAGGCTGAGAAGTCCTCTGCAGCCCCAGATCTCCTATTTCCTTGTTTTGTTTCTAATCTGAAAGATTACTTTTTATTTTCTTGAGAGAGGAAACAACTTTCCTCAAATAGCATCAAAATTTTAGGATTATGAGGTTCCCTCACCCTTTTTGCCTAAAGAGAGTAAAGGCTTTTCACGCTTGAAAATAATCATACCGTTATCTTTCTTAGGCTGGGAGAACTAAAGGAAAGATTTGGCTGTAAAGCATTAGGTTTGCTTTCGACAAAAGAACCACAGAAAGCAGTGGCACTTAGGAAAATACTGCAATATTGGCAAAGCCAAACTAAAGCTCAAATTAACAAGCCAGGCCCCAAATCAGACTGGCTACAAAATCATCATTTCAAACAAAGCAGTTTTTGACAAGTATGTATTTCCAGCTTTTCCTCAAAATATGGAATGCTGGAGAGGTACATATCACTTAGCAGGAATGCTGATGGGATGACACGCTTTCAGGAGCTGTGACTCAAAGAAAGATGTCACATTTTACAGGAATGACGATTGAAGGCCTGACCTTCTGTCGCTGGAGCCAATGAGTAGGAAAGGGTCTCAAATCATGTGAATAGCAAGAGTCAGCTGTCACATCCCTGCTGATCACAGCCATGCTGCAAAGAGATTATCTATGCCTATGGCTACACTGCAGTCTGAAATATGCATTTGTGTGAGCAGCATCAAACAAGCATACAAGTGCCACTTTCGTCTTTTTTTTTTTTTTTTGGTTTGTTTTCTTTCTTGACTCTCATATCACTGAGTCAATGGAAAGCACATGGAGTTAATGTTGCTTTTTTCTTCCCTTCCAAAGAAATTGCCCAAACTTGCTCAAGCATTTGTTTCAACATCTGTCACTATTTTCACAGAGCGGGGAGGGATTAGTCGTTAGAAGATGGGACTGTGTGTCTGTTGTTATTTTGAGAAGATACAGCCTGGTCCTATCTTTTTGCTTTAATTTCTCCTTTTCTAAAATGGTTCTACTGACACTTACATAACTCACTAAACAGTATGAGGCTGACTTAACAGACAGTTTCAGAGGGCTTTCATGTCGTGGCCTGAAAGATGCCTGTGCAGATATCATGCACCATGAGCTCTCCTGTCAAATCCAACCTAGGCAGAAGCATCCCAGTCAGCTGCCATGGTTGAAGCTGTTTCGGCTGTGGAGAGCTAAAGCAAGCAAAATGTCTCCAAGTTAGGCAAAACATTCATTTTAAGGGATACCATGTGTGTTCCTTCTGCTCAGTGTGTGGAGGAGCAGACGTTCCTCTCTCCCTCCCTCTACCTTTGACAGCCACTGAGGATCTGGCAGGATATGGGGTCTGCAGCACCTCCTGACTTCACCATCACCCTTGAACTCTAGAAACACCCTGCACTAGATCATGGCTGTCTTTTGGGGATGGGAGAAGTTCTCTGAATATTCTCTACTCAGCAATGCATTCACGCATGAGGGACTGAATTTTATAGCCCCACTGCTATAATAAAGCAGTTCCCCATTTGATAACCACAATGCTGCTATGCCTGACTTCTGTAGGGCAAATCCTTAGCAGGTGTGAATGGAGTGATAGGAGCTTAACCCACTTGAGGATCTAGCTCTGCTGTCTCTGTATCAGGATGAAGCTGTAACTCACTCTTATTATCTCTATTGGGACAGGTGGGAAAATTGACCAGCTGGCCTGTACCCTGCCCAAGGAGCTGAAAGGGAAGGATATGCGAATGGTGCCCATGGAAATGTTTAACTACTGCTCCCAGCTGGATGATGAGAACAGCTCTACAGTGCTGGACAATACTGGCCCACCCTGCACTAAGGGAAGCCCAACTCCTTCCAAATCTAAATCGGGCCCAGAAACAGAAGTGGAGCCCAGTGTGGGATGTCCTCAGAAACAGCGATACAGGCCCGTGAGCGTGCGCCGGGCAATTGGCACTGTGATCATCGCAGGGGTGGTTTGCGGCATTGTTTGCATCATGATGGTGGTGGCAGCTGCTTATGGTTGCATCTATGCCTCCCTCATGGCCAAGTACCACCGGGAGCTGAAGAAGAGGCAGCCGCTCATGGGTGACACAGAAGGCGAACATGAAGAGCAAAAACAAATCTCTTCTGTGGCATGAAACTCTTCTAGGAAGGAAGGGACAGCAATGAACAAAGGTACTTGAGAGCAGTCAAGCATGGGGTCCTCCCAAAATACATCTTCCCAGACAGACAGACAGACTGTGCTATTGCTCCACTCACCCAAGTAGTGCAACATGCTTCTGGGGGGGTCAGGGCACCTGGCTCAACTTCTGTTCCTCTGCCCCAGGCCCATCTTGTGCCCTTTCACCCTTGGGCCCTCCCAGACAAATAAAGCAGAGTCAGACCTCGAGTGCTTGCTGTGCCTCATGCCCTTGCACAGAGCTTCCCTTGCATGCCTGCTGTGGAGGCAGCTGGCACCTGCTGGGACCTGTGTCATCCTCTCAGCTTCTGTCCTGAGTCGTCCTGTATCCTGTCAAGAGCTCTCTGCACACAGAAAGAGCAGCTCTGTGAAAGCTTGTGTGAGGAGCAGGACACCAGAAGTGTCCACGCCTCGCTGTTAGGGTCACTGCTGTTGTGTGACAGTAAGTTGCTGCCCACCCTACAAGTCAGTGTTGCTGAGAGCACATCAGAAGGGAGGGAAGGTCACTAGGGGATGACAACAGTCAGGGGGAGATTTCCCTTTTCACTTTTAAAGGCGGAAAGATACCTGTACCACTCTAACATGCTGCCAGGGAGCACAGTGTCCCTCTTTTTGATCCTGGACAAGTCCAAATCTGCGACCTGACACACACACCATCTGCTATAGATACAAAGCCATCCTGTACACACCCACACTGACTCATTTGGATCCCAACAGACACATACACACAGACAGTCCCAGCTCCAGACATCCAGGCACCCCACCTGCACATGCAGAGCCACATGTGCCCGTGCTGATCTGCCCTCTGTGTGCACCCGTGAATACATTCAGGCACTTTACCTTACTCTCATCATAACAGTGCATGGCACGTTCTGTTTCAGACAAAACACATGCACCCTGACACCGAGGAGCTAACAAAAACATCTCAGCCATAGTGCAGAGTCAGTGGAAAAGGGCATGAGAGGATGGAGAGAGGCAAAGTTATTAAGGTTACAGCATGAGTCTGTGGAAATAAGTACACAGCATGAAAAAAATAAGGTCTGTTCTTGTTATCTATTTGATATTTTCTGTGAGAAATGAAAAGGGTAAGGATATGAAGCCTCCATTTGGAAATGTTTGATTGGCAGAGCAGAAGTGGGTTATCAGGAAAGACTAGAGGAGGAGGTGGCTTATTAGCCTCGGTAGCGTAAGCCATGCTGAGGAGCAGTGAGAACCCAGGGGAAGGTGGTGGGAGAAGACAACACACAACCCAAGGGCTGGCATGGCTGGCAGAGGGGCAAGCACAGTGTATGGAGTAGGGTTATGCAGCTGGGTGACTGAAGAGAGGGGTCACAATTCTGGAGGGTCTTGAGGTGAAGGCTGAAGCCTGGACCCCAGCATGGCACACGTGGGAGAGCCCAGGAAGTGTCCAGCACAATAGGCAGCACAGCCTGCATACGATCCCCTCACCATCACCGCTGTGTTCACTGCCATCCATAGCTGCACGTGAGTGTGCCCCCCCACACAACTGCGCACACTGCCACTGTCACATCAGGTGACTTCCCCCAACTAGATTTTAAAGCCCTCAGACTGCAGTGCCTCCTATTAGTCTTAGCTCTTTCTGACCTGACAGGAGAAAAAAAAAAAAAAAAAAAGAAGAGGGGAAAAAAAAAAAAAGGAACTCAACATAAGGACTCATTTTGTATCACTGGAAGTGGGATAAAATGCTGTCTCCAGGGGAGAGCGCATATTGCCATGGTAACCTGCTCTAACCCGTCACAGTGGGTATTCCTGGGCGAGGAAGATGACACTGGAGGTCGTGCATCCGCAGTGCCTGTGGATGGTGTGATCCCTGCCATCAGGAAACAAGCTGGCAGCCAGCCCAGCTTTGCAGGGTGGTTCGCTAGCAACCTGTGTTCAGAGCCCAGCACGCACTGCAGGTGGACCCTGCCAGGGCACGTCACCTCCTCCCCCTGCTCCAGCTGAATCCCGATGCCTTCAGACATCTCACAGCCCTCCTGCTCCCTGCTGCCGGATCCCTATGGAAGCGATGCATGCTGGCTCCTCTGCCCCTTCTGGTCCCAGACAGGTGGTTGTACTGACCCACGGGCACACAATGACGAGTCTTTCATCAAAGCCTGGAGTGGCAAAATCCCCTCTGGCCTAACCAGGGCCACCAGAGGCAAAGAGACAGGATACTCTGGACTGTTTTGGCACGACTTCTCTTTGACACAGGGATGCATGGGACAAGGGAGGATGTTCCTCAGGAAGCAGACCAGGCTGCCCTGGAAGAAGGACTGGGAGAAGCAGTCCACTCACAAGTGTGTGCACACATTGTCCCCCCGCTCCCAGCACACTGCTTGTGGGGAAGAGGAGGAGGAAGGGGGCTGGCAAGATGTGAGGAGGAAGGACTCTTCCCCCGTGCACTGTATAGCCACTCCAACCATCCTATCTGCTGCAACCATAGCCCGCTCTGAAGGGCAGAACTGGTGCACTGCAGACTCTGTATGCGTGTTACTGCTGCTCCACATTCCCAGCAAGCCAGGATTAGACTCTGCCTGCTGGATCCAAACCTCTCCCCAGCCTCCCTCTCAGGGGAACTTCTCCCTTTACCATACTGGACTCCGCAATCATACTTGAAATGGGACTTGAGTCAGAGCGGTATATTTATAGATCTATATTTTACTTGCATCAAATAATGGTGAAATATTGCACAAAACAAATGGGATCTATACATGTGTGTGCGTGTATGTGTGTGTGTGTGTGTGAGTGAGCAAGAGAGTGTGAGAGAGATTGTTTTTAAGGGGATAGACTAGAGGTGAAATTAATGGGAGGGAGGCAGGGGACAATGCAGGGGCCAAAGGGGTTAAATCCTCCTTTCCCTGCACTTTCCCTGAGACCTCCTCCTGCCGTGACCATTTTTTCTTTGTTGCTAATAATATTTTCTATATCTTGTGATGTGGGGCTGATGATGACCTTGCCCATCCTTTCCTTTTTGTTTTCATTTATGAGGCAGAAAGTCTGGATTCATCTCAATCCTAGACAAGGGACTGCATGTTCAGAAACCCACCAAGGAAAGGGGAAAAAAGAGAGTTCCTAAGAAACATGACGGATGGATGCTACAGGAAGTCCCACTGGAAAGCAAATACTGTGCTTGGAAGGACAAGGACCTGTCCTCTTTCACGCAGAGTAACAAGGTTCACTGGGAAATGCCCTCTTTATACCACTGTTTGCAATTAGGCTCTTCATCTGTTCCCTAGCACACATGGAAAACTAGTGTGACTGAGCTGCTGCACTGCCCACGGGCGCTCTGTGGAACATGGCACCCAGCGTGGTCAGAAACAAAGCTCTCCTGTGGGATGCTGGATACAGAACGAGACCTGGTGCTCTTGGGTACCCAGGCAGTGGGCTCCCGTTCTCCCTGCAGGCATGGGGGGAATCCCCCGGAACGCACCCTTTGCTGCAGGCAGGTGTAGCACTGCCACGCCGGGGTGCCTGCCCTCAGGAAACGGTCTTCTGGAGCCGGCGGGTCCAACATGTGCCAGGGTGACGTAGGGGCTGCCAGAGCCACCAGAAACACCCCTTCTGCTCCCCTTCCCCACACACCCACCTGTGGTACAGGCAGGCACATTTCTTGCAGGGAATAGACGGCACTTGTAATTTCTTTTTCTTTTCGTTCCTGTTTGAGGGAGAGCAACAAGATTTTCTAAAATGATTGAATGGAGGTTTCTTTGGCATGAGATAGAAAATTTTTAAAGGTATATTATATTTCTGGCTTGTTGTTACAGAAGAATAATAAAGAATGTATTTTCCTATGCTCTTTCTTGTTTAAATGAGATCTCTGATCGTAACCTTCCCCCTCTCCCCTACCACCTGCAAAAGCAAACACTGCAGGGACACAGACAGCCAAACAAAAAAGCCCCTGAACTCCCACATACATGTGTGCTTGTCTGTTCATAGTGTTTGAACTTGATAGGAAGTATATACATATATACACACGCATATACTATATCAGTGTAAGTCCTAGGCAAGCATGGAGCTGTAGTCAGGATGAGGCTGTAGGACTAAATACACAGTCAGTCAAGGTGAGACCCTAGATCTAGAAACACACACATACAGTGCTCCAGGGACACAGCCAGACAAGGGCGATTGTGTAACAGGGATAAGATACTGTGGCAATCAGCTCATTACATAAAAGTAGAAAGGGCCAAATTAATCCCTAGTGTAAGAACGCAGAAGCCAACGGAGATATATTCAGGTCAAATTTGATTCCAAAAGCTTTTTTTTTTTTTTTTTTTTTTTTTTAATTAGAGCATAATGTTCAATAAAACAGTAACAAATAGTGAGCTATGGGTTCCTACACCTTCAGATTCCTGACCCTCCTAAGCAAGGTTATTTTGAAATGAATAGAAATTGTTATGTAATCCTATTGCACCCCCAAGTACACAAGCTGTTACCCCTAGAGCTAAAAGAGTCTCTCTGCCAGCTGTTCACTGCCTATGTCTATCCTACACAGCTAAGATGTTTAAATTCCCCACTTCTCCACCTTCAGTGCTAAGCATACACAATTCATCACATACTCTTTCTGTGAAAAAAAGCTCATCCTGATGTGTGTGGAACCACAAAAGATGTTAAACCCCACCACAAGTAAACCCTTGTGCGACCGTACTCACACTGTTATACTTGGCCACCCTGTTATACTCGGTCTGCTCTTCAGAGAGAAACTGGGAGCAGAACCCTGATACTTTTAATCTGGTAAAAGCTGAGGCATCTGTTCTGCTGAAAAGGTACATGCCGCAAGAGAATCACCATTATTGTTCAACAGAGTGGTGTCTATGACACATAGTTTAATCTAATTTTGCCATGTAGGTAGAGGAGCGCACACAGATACTACTAAGCAGTTCATATAATAGCAGAAACGTAGAGCAGAAAAAAAGCAAAGCCAACACATTCATCTGATGACTCTAGGCTTTTTCAATTCATGAATTATCTGGGAGTAGGCTGTGATTTTCTGCAATTTGATTATTAAAATTTGATTATTATTTGATTGATATTGAAAAATGTATTTGCCCTGCATACATATCTACTCATGTACACATATAACATTATATCTACAAACATGTAATTCTGTATATATAATACATGTAAAATATATACGATAGCATATCTCCTCAGTATCTTGTTCATCAACAGCTTGCTGTGCCAGCTTAGAACAGCTAGCACTGATTGGAAGCACAGGTCAGAGGGTCAGCTTCTATCCTCTGATTAGATAAGTGCAAGTCCTAGCACAGGATTTCTGAGGACCAAAAAGCCTTCCCTCCAAGAATACTGTGCAACACAGACAAAAGAATAAGCATTCCCTGATGAATACAGTTACAGAATGTAGTGCAAGTAAATAAAGGTTTCCTGTGTTATTTTGGGGAGGTCTGCCTATCAGTGGCAGCCTTGGAAATCTGGGGACAAGGAAGAATCCTCACAGCTTTTATCAGTTTAGAGCGTGGGGGAGAAGAAACCACCACGGGCTAGATCTTTCCTTCCCACAGCGGCACTGTGCTGCAGCCAGGCAGAAGCCATGTGCGGGGCACCTGGAGCCAAGGAGAAAGCAAAGCATGATGCTAAGAATAACTCTGCCTCGCGTGGAGCTTCTGGGCCAGGACAACAACATGCTGCTCCATGCTGGAGGCTCTGAGTTGATATTTGGCCCTTCACATTTGCTTTTTCTGTGTCCTAACTTGGAAATAAACTTGTTCGTTAGAACAGCTGCAGAAAATCAACTCGTAAAGGGCACTGAACGAGCGACAAATGCAGGTATTTAATTTGAGGAAATATGCACTGGTGATACACTGAGATATTCGACTAGCTCTGCATAAAGCTCAAGGGAAATATCCAGAGTAACAACAGTGCTTTGCATTTCTATAGTGCTTGCCTTTGGCAGCTCTCTGGGAGCTTGCAAACATTAATGAATTCACAGAGGCAGAGATTCAGAGAGTATAAAGGCCAGAAGGGACTTTAGATCATCCATCCAGTCCGACCTTCTGCGTATTGCATGCTACTTGGAAAGTGTGCGGAAAAGAACCACAAACAGTATTTGAGGGTGGCAGAAAATGCCTTGCTGTGAAAGGCTTAAAGAGCTCAATCTGTTTAGTTTAGGAAACAGAAAAGAGAGAAGTTATCCTGTAGAAAGTCCAACAGTGAGTGTTTATGTGCAGTGAATCTTCTAGAAAAGCATCTACCTTTGATTTAAAAAACATTCAAGAGATGAAAAAACCCCTTTTCCCTTGGTACTTTACTACAATAACTATTCATGCTCACTGTTAGCATTCATGCTTAATATCTCATTTGAATCTGTTTGGTTTCCTGTCACAGGTTTTCATTATGCTTCTCTCCTCTAAATTAAAAAAAAAAACAATGTTCAGTAACCAGCATCTCTCCCTGTGAAGGTACTTCATACTCTAATCAAACTATCTCTCAGTCTTCTTTTTGGTAAAATAAGCAGATTGAGGTCACGAAGTCTTTTGCTGTAAAGCATTTCCTCACCTCTGGAACAACAGAAACTTTTGTTGCACTCTTCCCAGTTTTTCCTCCTCATTTTAGAAGTATGTTCCTCATCCATCAAAATCTGTGTTCTGTATTGTACATACTATCTGACTATTGCCATACAATAGTAAACATCTCCTTTCCC